TATTATACTTAACATTATTCAATGACTTCTAAGTAACCATAAATCAAGTTCAACAAAATCACTACAATTTATGTTGTGGAATAATAAATGGATCTTCTCAAATAAGGGTATCCTTTAAAATTCGTGAATTAAATGCACTTTCCTCCCACCCAACTAACACATATGTAAATTTCATATCAAAATCATATGTTGCAAATACATTTTGTGTTGGTCAATCTTTTCTTTCACGATAACATGGAGCATCCACTTGCGGAATCCTAACACGTACATGAGTGTCATCTATTGCCCCTAAACAATCCTAAAGGGAAAAAATCGAGTATAAACAATAATAAATACATTATGTATGTAAATTAACATTTGAGTTTGGACTATATTACCTTAAAGTATAAGTAAAGACTGTTATTTAGAATATGAGGTTGGACTTCAGTCTCATATAGTTTAATTAAGAATTCAACTTCCAACATCAATATGACATTCAACACATTATAAAAATGTATGAAAACAGTTACCTCAGAATGATGAAAAAAGAATGAAACACTTTTATTCTTCACGTTATGGCCAATAATGTGAAGAAATTTAGTTATTTGTTTTTCAACAGTTGATCGAAATGCATATTTTACCAATCCAGATACCCTTAATTGTTTGTATATTGTAATGAACGATTGAGGTCACATTCGAATAATGTCATGAGATTGTTCCATATGTACTAAGTAAGACAACAACTTTTGACGATGACACTTTTTTTTTTAAAACAAATTCTGAAATATTTGGAGTTGATAAACGTAACACATTCAACGCATAAGCAACAATGCAAAGGATTGTCACCATTGCTATTTCGGTATAAAGTTTTATTTATTATTGTAAATATTCAATTAAATTAAAGTTACTGCCAACGACATCATTATCAAGATCTTCATGAGAAAAACCTTTGACCGATTGTTATAATATGTCATTTTACAAATCCTTTAAACAAATATATCCTTAGAAACCTCTAAATTTTATTAATTATATTATTAAGTAAGTAAAAATTAAATCTGAATTATAATATTAAAATTCGATAATATATCTAATATTTTATGATTCACCTTATAATTCTAATTAAAATAATTTAATATAATCTCTAATAATTTAATACTAAATTAATACAGAATTTATAAATTCATATTTTGTTCTATTATTAATAAAATTTAATATTTCGTTAATTATTCTTGAAGTTCAGACCTAATTTATTATATATTATTAATAATTTAAAAATTAATGGAAATCTAATATTTGATAGAATATCTATTATATATTTTAAAGTTCAAACCAAATTTATTATATATTATTAACAATATTAAAATTAATGGAAATCTAATGTTTGATTAAATATCTATTATATATTTTAAAAAAATTACGTTTATATTTAATATATAATATTAATTTAAATATAATTCATAATTTTTATACCTATATTAATTTAACTTAAACAATTACTCCAGTCTCAATCTCAGACAAATATTTATCACATAATTTAACTTAAAACCCTACTCTAATATCATTATAATTTTTCATAACATATTTATATTATTAATTAAACGGATAAGCAAAAAATTAAACCTATAATCAACCTACCTCTAAATTGTAACACTAATAATGATTATCACCACACGACCAATACCACCAAAACAACGGCAACATGACCACCACCACAAACCAACACCAAGTACGGCGGATAACAACCAAGAGCACCACTATCACCAACGCCAACGCAACACGAGAAGCATCAGCACCACTACAACGCGAGCTCCACAGCGCCACGACCACCAACACCACATGACCAAACGATGATCAGCACCACCACCAGCGCACGAGGAGCACGACTACCACGAATGAACGAACACGAAGCAGGATGAGACCAACGACACAACAACCACCACACAGCCAAGAGGAGCTCCACCACCACCTTGCTGCCAGGAGCACCAACTCTACTCAATGATCATTGCATAAAACCTGTAATATAACACACATCAATGGTTGAAACACATTATAACTCACTCACACGAGAATTAATTGATTCTCGTTGCAAGAAGAAGTGAATGAGAATCGATTCTTATAAACGGATAATCGATTATAGCCCTTGAGAATCAATTCTGCATTGACTGAGAATCAATTATCCTTCATTGAGAATCGATTCTAGCCACAGAGAATGGAAATTGTTGAAATAAGGGAGACGAGAATCGATTATCATAACAACTCGTAAAGAATCGATACTCTACAACATCCACAACCATTTTCTTTGTCACTCTCATCCACTAACACACAACACACACCAAAACCAAACCACAATCACCAACCCCGCTCTTATGTAAACGAGAACCACCATCAACCTCGATACAAACAAATAATGTATCACTTGTCTCCTCTCACGAGTATTTAATGGCACACAACTTCCACTGATCATGGTTCATGGTCGCGGTCAACACAACGTGGATCTCATCTTTATTGTGGTTGTAGAATTATTTCTCCATTCAGATGAATCTTTGTATATATGCAAAACTTTTTCAGATGATCATTATTTCTAGATTCTATGCACAGTTGCTTCACTTTGAGATGGAGAGGAGAAAATCATAAATAGAAATTCGATTAATTATGTTTCTTCCATCATTTTTTGGTCAAGAAAGCTTCCATCCCTCTCTCTCAAATTAGCACTTATAAGTTAAAACAAATATATCTAATACTCAGCTTTTCATCCGCGAATAATAAATAACTGAAAACTACACAACGTTAAATGACATGCACATGTTTGACACTAATTTTGGATGCTTGGCATCAATTTCCAACGTGAAAGAGTAGACATTGGAGATAGAAAGCAAAGTGATACTATTAATTAATGACACTACGTTAGAAACGTGTCAATAATGTATTGTCGTTTTGCAACAATTATTGAGTTCGTGTAACAATAAAATAAATGCAATATATTCCACTAAAATTGTACAACGCCAAACATGCTGCATTTTCTATCGTTGATGTATATGTTTAGTTCTCAAAAAGAATTTATTTATAATCTTTTAAAAGAAAAATTCTATTTGCTTGGGCCTTTTAGTTGCAAACTTTATTGGGCCTTTTAGTTGAATACTTGCTTGGGCCTTTTCTTTTTAATACTTTATTTGTGTCTTTTCTTTGTGCACTATGATAGTTTCTTTCTACACCTTCTTACAAAATTGTTTGTATTTATTGTTTATGACAACTTTTCCCAATCATACTCGTATATTGGATGGTCCCAACAACGCTTCCAAAATTTTAAAATTTTAAATAGTTCACATTCTAAGGATAAGTTATAAATTGGTGTCACCAAATACAAATAAAGAAAAGTCTTAAGCAACATATTGATCTTCATGCGTGAAAAAATTAAAATAATTCGAACTTTTAATTATTCGAATTAATAATTTTAAATATAAATAACTCAAGATTAGTGAAATACAACCAAAATAGTAATTACATGCTTTATAAGTTAATTTAATAACTAAAGTTTTCAATTTTCAAGCTAATTTGATTAGTTGTAAAGTTCCCTCGGTGTTTTTATTTAGGGCACATATATTATTTATACTTAAAAGTAATTAAAACAAGATTAAATTGGAACTTTTTATAATGATTTAGATGGATCCAAGATTTAGGTTCTTATAGACTAGGCTGTCTTGTCGTGGATCCAAGTTGAAGTTTAGAACAATTTTTAAGAGTTAATTGGAAAAAAGTGGCATTGATTGGTCAAATTACACACCCTCAATGTTATAACTTTTTAGGTTTACATTAAAGTATTCAACAAAGACATAAAAGGAAAAATAATACAAATAGATTTTCAATAGATGCAAAAGTCGATAAAAGAAAAAGGCAACTAAGTTTAGTTAAAGGGTAAACATCAAAGAATAAACAATAATTGAAGAAAGGTGATGATAGATGAACGAGAGATTTACATATATATTTTTTATGAGGATTTTGTTTAAATAATTTGCACAACAACCACACTATAATACGATACTACACTTTGTTTTATTAAGTTGAATACTCTTTAATTGTAGAATTATGGGAAGTAGAGCTGTCTGAAAACGACGTGTGAGCTTTGCGTTTGGTTTAGGGTGACATTTGTTATTTTTTTATTTTAAGTCCACAACACAAGTTACATAATTTACTCATTATTCTACTCATTTTGATTGAATAAATTATCCGTAATTGTCCACATTTGGAAAACAGCCATAGCAGTTTTGACTTTAGTAATAATTAATTGTTTTTTAATCTCCAAGAAGATTAGTTGAGATTGAATTTAATTCTAAAGAAAACGTTATTATTTTTTATTACAACATTAAATAAATATGTTTATTTTTTTCTTCTGTTTTTTTACAAAGTATCTTAATTAGATTTCATAATTGATAGTTTCCATGACTAACGATTGACTATCTTTAATAAGGGAAACAGATTTTTTCTTAATTACGTTTTCTTCATTCACAAAATTTAAACTCGAGATTTCACTTAAGAAAATCAATACAATATTGGTCCAACTAATTAGTATTAATTTTATGATTTTAAGGGTATGTTTAGATTGATTATAAAAATTTAATATTATATTCATAATTACTTTTGACTCATTATATACACTTTCCCTTTAAAGTGTATGTAGCTTTTTTTTCAATTGGTTAATATTCTCAGTTATTAATTCATTTATTCTTAATTTTTCTCCAAATAAATTACATCATTAAAGTAATGCAAGAACAATGTTATTTTAAACTATTTTAAGAAATTTCATTTTTATTAAATATTTATTATTATTGTTAAACTATGTAAGAAAAGTAAGAAGAATGAGTAGAATTAAATTGGGATTTGGATTGCTGCCACATCTTATGGAAACAAAAGGTTGATTCATTAAAATTTTGACGCCATACACATCATCCACAGAACGATGATACATTCTTTATTTTCTCAGACAAAGTAGCAAGCAAACACTCACACTATGAAAAGGTGATTGTTCATTCTTCATCCCATAGATCATCAAGAAGAGGCTTGGTTGGTCCTTTGATGAGCCTCTCTTGATGGATTTCACTTATCTTCTTGTAATCTTCCTCAGTTAATGACCAATCAAAAATCCCCAAGTTTTGCTTCATCCTCTCCTTGTCATAGCTCTTCACCACAAAGGTTAATCCTTGTTCATACAGCCATCGAAGACAAATCTGTAATATTTTTGTATCAGTTTTCTGAACATAGAAACACAGTACATCTAATAATACTACACACACACATATGTTATATATGTATCATAAATTGGTGCTACGTAGAAGAAACTAGTATATACCTGAGCAACAGTTTTGCCATGAGCATCAGCCAATTCTTTGAGTACATCATTGTCCATCACAAGATTAGCACCTCTACTAGCACCCTTCCTCAGGGGTGAGAAAGCAGTTACAGTGATACCCTTTTCCTTACAGAATTCTCTTAGTTGCTGTTGTTGCCAGCCAAGGTTAACTTCTACCTGTTAGGATTGTTTAAGGTGTAGTTCAATCAGTGATTGAATAGGTTTTTTATATTGTAGTGGATCATCAGAACAAGTATAATAATTCAACTAATGTATGTGGTTAACTTAAATATTGATAATTAATTACTTGATTCACTGCAGGAGGGATGGTAGCAAAAGAGAGCAATTTTTCAAGCTTCTTGATGGAGAAGTTGCTGACTCCAATGGCTTTGGTGAGGCCAAGTCTTTGGCATTCCTCCATGGATCCCCACACACCCTTCACGTCAAACTCCACTATCTCTGATACTTCGATGGGGTACACAACTTTCCCAGGCTTAGTAGCAATGGGCCAGTGGATCAGAAAGAGATCCAAGTACTCGAGTTGAAGTGTCCTGCATGGTTTCAACGTAAAGTTAACACACAAATTATTACATAGTTAAAATTTTGATTACTTGTTACACAAACATTAGTTAGGACAAACATCCATGTTAAAAGTTTTGATTACTTGTTACGTAAAGATTACTCTGGAGTGTAAACAAGTGGTATGAAGTAGTAATTGTGATCATTACCTGAGAGATTTCTGGAGAGCTGAAACAATGGTCTGTGCATGGTTATCAGTGACCCACAATTTGGAAGTGACAAAGAGTTCATCCCTTGATGCAACTAGTCCAAGTTTAAGTGCTTCTGCTATGGCTTCTCCCACAGACTGTTCCACGCCATAAGCAGAAGCAGCATCAAAGTGCCTGTAGCCCTGCTTGATGGCCTCAAGGACAGCATCTTTGGTGGTGACTGTGCTGGTGGCTTCCGGCGCGGTGCCCAGGCCCATCACCGGCATCTTTCGCTGGCCAGAGGAGGACCGGAGAGTGACTTCAGAGACTATGGTGGCAGTCATTTTGCTAAGAATTGGATGAGAATGCTAAATTGGCTTTAGTTACTTTGTTGGTGATGTTAACAAGAGGGTCACCATATATCTTTTATAATGGAATTTGAGCAATAGAAAAATATGAACATGCAAGTGGGTAGGTGGGATTATAGTGCTTCCATGGCTATCTACTTTGGGGTAGCTGATACTGGTATTAATGAATACATGTGTTTTGAATTTTTAATGATGCTTTTTTCAATGGGCATAGAACAAAGAAAAAACACACACTTCGTAGAATTCTGCAACATCACTTCACTGTGGTCTTCGCCTCCTTTTCAAGACTTAGTTTCTCATTTTGCACCAGCAATGCAAATAAAATTCTGTTTTGATTTTATTTTACCACAATATTATGCAAATATAATTTTAGTATTCATCACAATATTATAATATATAATATAATTTTTTAAAAATGATTTATAAAATAAAAAATAAAAAATTTTTATAGGTTTGATTATCACCGTTAATAGTGGTGAAATTTTCCATAATAAAGTTGATGAAAAATGCTTAGTCACTCTTTTTTAGTCTGAAATTTCTAAAGACTACAACTTTATATGAAATCATAGTTGAAAAATAGCGTACAAGAGGACAACATTGAAGTCAAGAACCACATTATTTTATTTTAGTATTTGTAAAGTAACACAATTATCAATATTAAAATATTACCTAATTTTAAGAAAAATATTCGTGTACAGCTAAGAAATGCAACAACTGTCTTGAAAAAACGTGTAACACTTAAATTATAAAACGACAATCATAAATCAAAATAAAAATAAAGATTAAATGTATTTTATTAATGGTTAAATTTTTTGTAAGATTTTAAACAAATATTAGGCGTGACTTGATGGTGACTTTATTGTAATAGTTAAACGAAATTTTGGACCGACTTAGTCATTTTTTTTTCAACAGGAACTATGATTAAAATATTCCTAAAAATGACTTAGTGGTACTTTTATTCAATCAGAGAAACTTATAAACAAAATTAAAATTTGACTTGTCGACTCTGTTTTTCTACTGTTTTAAAACAAATCCAAAATTTGGTTTGATGATTAAAATATGAATTTTTTTACTTAGTGTGGGTCTGCATCAACTTTTATTTGAATATTTAACCATAATATATTATGTTACGACTACAGTGCAAGCCTTTTATTTGTTTTGGAATTATGCAAGGTTTAATTAGTTTTGTCAAGAAAATATTCTTCGTTGGTTTTAAAATTGTACCAGTTAATAATAATAATAATAATAAACTTTAAGATTTTTTTTTCATTTTCACTTTGACTGCCTTGATCCTTTGCTATAATATTTACTGAATTAATGTTGTGAGAACAATAAAATCAAAATAATTTTAAATTTGTGTATTCATGTTATTTAATTAATTAAAAAAATAACAAATTATTGTGATTAATATAATTATATATATAAAGTATCTCCAGTTGTTTATGAACAACGTATTTTCATTTTAAAGTAAGTTATTTTAAGTAATTTTTATTAAATTTTTATAAATTTTGTTTAAATATATTCTTTTATAGACATTCATATTTTTATTTATATTTGACGTTTTTATAACTTAAAAAAATAATATAATTATTATAAATAAATACTAATTTAATTTAATATTTTAATATAACAAAAAATAAAAAATTCACATATTTATCTCGATATATACTAAAAATAAAAAATATATAATGAAGAAAAATTATACTCCTCTTTGTGAAAGCAAATAATGTTTAACAAAGTTCTAATAGAATATTGAATAATATATAACGAATTATATTTGTCATATTATTATAATAAAAGCTAAAATTTAAAGTATTTATATTTTTTTCTTAAATAATAATAATATTTTAACGTATTGATGTATCATATTTATAAATTAATTAATCCAATTATTGATATACTATTTTAATTTTAAATTCATGAAATTTAATCATGATAAAAAATTTAAATTCATATTCATAAATAAATATTATTTTTTATATATACTAATTTATAATATTTTATAATTAAATTTTTTATAAAAAAAGTAACTAATAATTTTTAAAATTTTAAATAATATGAATATTTAAACAAAAAAAATTATTTTCAAAATAAAATAAATAATTAATTGATTGTTGGGATCATTGAAAGGAAATAAAATAATTATAAAATACAAATTAAGATATATTTTCTATCGTTGAAAATATTAAGACAAAATATTATTTATAAGATAACTTTTTATTTGTTTTTTTATTATAATTATTAATTTTTATTATCATTTAGATAAATTCTAATGTATAATTTTATAAGGTACAATTATTTTTTATTAAACATTGAGGTAAGCATCATCCACTAGATATATCCGTCACAAATATTTTATATTTTACAGAGTAACAGGAATATTTAAATTATCAAATGTAATAAAAATATTTAAAATGATATAAAATATTAGAAGAATGTTTAACTTTCAACAATTTTTTTCTTTTACACATGTTTATTTTTTATGATTGTAAATTTCAAATGTATAATTTACATGTGTGCGTGGGAATCAATAAATAATATATTTAAAAAACTATATTAATTTTTTTAATGGATTTATTATCTAAATAGATCTTTATTGTTCATGTAATTTTTATTTGTCTTTTCTTAAATTCTCTTGTTTTCATTCACTTATCTGTGTTTTTTTTTCATCACCACCGCCTAATTTCTTTTATTAAAACTACTATATTAATATTTAATAAAAAATATTAGAGTTAATTTTTTAAATCAATATTAAAATTAAAAATATATCAATTAATTAATTTAAATTATGATGATGATAAATAATTTTGTTTATGATGAAAGTAAATAATTATGATGATATAAATAATTAATTTAAAATTTATTGTTTATTTACTCATTGATTAAAATATTATATTAAAATTTGATAAAATAAATATTTAATATTTTAAAAAATAAAATTATTTAAATTATTTAAAAATATTATAATTAATAAATTTATAATAATATAATATAATAAATTTGAGATATTACAAATATTATTCTTATATTATAATTATTAAGAAAATTAAATAATTATTTTAATGTAAACTTTCTAATATTTTTTTAAATTACCTAATTATTATTATTATTTAATATAATTATAACCACATTAAATTATTAAATAAAAATATATTTAACTTATCAATATTTAATATTTTTTTAATTAAATGAGTAATTAATTTATTATGGTAAAATAATTTTAAATTAATTATTTATTATCATTATAAATAAAATTATCTATGTTTATTATCATTCTAAATAATTAATATTTTTTAATTTTAATGTTGATCTTTAAAAAAATTATTTTAATATATTTTTATTAAATTTTAGTATAGTAATTTTAATTAAAAGAATGAAGAGAGATAAATATATAAGTGGTGGAAAACAAATAAGAAAAAAAATAAAAGAATTTATGTGGAGAGAGATTTTTTGTTTATATGAATAATATACAAATTTATTTAGATATATCTATTTTAAATTGTATTATTTATAAGAATGATTAGGTGGCATTGATTTTAGATTTTAATTTTAATTTTTAATCTCGTGAACGTAGAAGAGGACAAAAAAAATTCAGAACGAAAAAAAAAAACAAATTGAAGCTGGCGCGGAGCTTGGCGCGAAGCAAAATTAGGGCGCGAAAGAGGTTGTTTGTTGTTTATAGTTCAAATTTCTTCACTCTTTGTTCTTGCATTTGCATCAATGGCTTCTTCACTTCCTCGAAGAAGAACCCACGCTCCCAAATCATCCTCCGCCTTGTACGACGACGTTTTCTGCCAGGAATGCGCCTCCGGTCACTCCCCTGCGAAATTACTTCTCTGCGACAGATGCGATCGAGGCTACCACCTCTTCTGCCTCCGCCCCATCCTCCCTTCCGTTCCCAAAGGCTCCTGGTTCTGCCCCTCCTGCTCCAACACCCAACCTCAGTGTAAGCATTTTATTTCTCTCATTCCAGATCCCACATCGATTCATTCCAACAAAGCAAAAGTTTATTCACGAGCTGATTTTTAGGGTTGAGTAAGATCCTATGCAAATTAGGGTTCTCTCTATTCTCTATTTAACCCCTTGTGTTTTCTCAATCTGCAGCCTTTCCCCTTGTCCAGACCAAAATCATTGATTTCTTTCGAATTCAGCGCTCCCCCGAGGCATCGTTGAATCAAGGTAAGACTAATTGATTCTCAGTTTATTAGTATTGTTGTTTTCAGTTGTTCAATGTTATGGTTTTGATTTGAAGATTGAAACTTGAAACTGGTGTGGTTTTAGATACGCGGAAAAAGCGAAAGCGGGGTGGGAGCTTGGTGGTGTCGAAGAAGAAACGGAAACTGTTACCCTTCGTGCCGAGTGAGGATCCGAAGAGGAGGTTGGAGCAGATGGCCTCGCTGGCGACGGCGTTGACTGCAACTAATACAGACTTCAGCAATGAGCTCACTTACATGCCTGGAATGGCACCGAGGTCTGCTAATTGCCCTGCTCTCGAGCGTGGTGGAATGCAGGTACCTGATTACTGATTAATTACCCTAATTGTTTTGTGCTGAAATTATCTGATACTATTTGTAAAGGTGTGTACATTTTGAGCGTTGTTTAGTTAAGCATTATGTCAATGGAACAGTGTATTGTCGTGTGATTGCGACCTCTCAGAATTTTGCCAATGTATTTAAAAGCTTGAGTTAGTCAAGTTGAGAAAATTAGTTTAAAGAAAGGGGTTTTGAGTTTGTGTTGTTCCTTCCTTGCATGTAGTTAAATTTGTTTCTCCTGTGTTAAACCAACGTATAGTATGCTATACCTTTTTACTTCTCGCTGCCACTTCTTTGATTATTGGGTTAACAATCATTTTAAGGTCCTGGTTGATGCAAAAGATGTCTTTTGTTCACTTTCGTATGATAGGGATCTTGGCAATTTGAATGTTTCGGTAGGATAAAGCAGGAGCAAGACATAAATGGGAATAGGAAAAAAATGTTATTGTTCTTAGTGTTGTCATTCATTTGCATGTACATGTTTATTAGAACAATGTATTTCGCAATCCTCAAGCCTTTTTTTTAATGAGGAAAAAGTTTTATAAAATAATCACACTTGCATTTAGCATCCGCGGTGGGGACTGGTTCTTCTCCGTTCTTTATGTATTTAATTGCTAATTCGCTTGTGTTTTTTATTTATTTTTTTCACTCAGGTCTTGTCAAAAGAAGACACTGAAACCTTAAACTTGTGCAAAAGAATGATGGAAAGAGGAGAATGGCCACCCCTAATGGTCGTTTTTGATCCTCTAGAAGGGTATGTATACGCGGCTTAATTGTTTCTCCTTAAAATGTAGCCAATAAATAAATCTTAATATTCTGGCCAAAAGATGCAGCGAACCCATGGTGCACCTATTACATAACCATTTAGCAACAATCTCATTGTTCACATTACAATGGAAAAAGATACTTAACACTTTTAAATTTCTATTTGTGCAGCTTCACTGTTGAAGCAGATAGACCCATCAAAGATTTAACCATAATTACAGAATATGTTGGAGATGTAGATTTTTTGAAGAATAGGGAAAACGATGATGGAGATAGCATAATGACACTTCTTTCAGCTTCTGACCCTTCAAAGACACTTGTGATCTGTCCAGACAAACGTAGCAATATAGCACGTTTCATTAATGGCATCAATAACCATACACCGTAAGTTTTTTGCACCTCAGATTTCATCCTTGCTTCTGTTTTTGAAAAGTATGAACCTAAGGATTTTAAGGACGATTTACATTAATTGTCAGTTAAAAATCCTTTACTTTCAATTCAAGTAAGGGGATTGTTTGATAGAAACAACTATTAATGAAGGCTTTACCTTTTGATATAGGGAAGGAAAAAAGAAACAGAACTTAAAATGCGTGAGATTTGATGTTGGAGGCGAATGTCGAGTTCTTTTAGTCTCCAATAGAGATATTCCAAAGGGGGAAAGGTTGTACTATGACTACAATGGAGATGAACATGAGTATCCAACTGAACATTTTGTCTGACTGCCTTCAGATGTATGCAAAGCATCCCAACCAAGGCAGAATTGTAAGCCTGTCATTTTTCATCAGTTGATTTCGCCACCCACTTTAGAATGGCTGCCTTGTGACCGTCCCATGTTGGATGCACTATATTTTTTAAATTGTTTATTGATTAAATTAGCGTATAATTTTATTATATATGCAATGATCAACGCATATTTTTAGCAAAAGTTGATGTTTGCCTCTTCGTTTGGGGTATTCATTTTATTTTTTTAAAACACATTAATCTATAGTCTTTATTATATTTAGTGTAGATAATACATTAATTTAAGGTATGTAACTCAGTTCTTTAAGATTATTTGAAATAATAATAAAATTTTAGTTTCTAAGTTTATGTAAATTGTTTTATTTACCCAATTAAAGGAAAAGGAAAATGAAATATCTGTGGCTTAAAAAATAAAATAAAGATATAGAGGGTGACTAGGAAATTTGAAGCACAACTTGTTAGTTGATGATTCCTTAACTCTAATTTATGGTATTTAAAGTTAAAGAGTTTTCTCCTTCTTATCAATATCTTTCCTTTGCCTAACATTTATCTCATTCGTCTCTTGGTAAACAATCATGACTTTCTCTCCGTTTAAACTCTTTTAAGCTCTTTCCTGAGAAAGAAGAAACACGAGGAGTCACACTACTCATAAGAGATCTTGGCTACAAGATATTTTGATCCCAGCCATGTTTTGCTTAAAGGTTTTGTGATAGTTTACTCTTAATTTTAATGACTGATAGCAGGTAAATGTCCTGGAAAAAAAATGTAGGTCTTGTTTACTCTTAATGACTATAGATGTTACTGAAAATTCGTGCTTCCCTTGTTAGTATGGATGGGTGGGATTACGAAGCAGCAACCTGTGCAAGATATAATATTGTTCATGCATTGTGATCACACGTCAATAATTACTTATGCATGTTATAAAGCAAGGGAGATTACACTAATAACTTGAGGATGGTTTAATGGTATCATGTTATTCATTTGTTATGAGTAAAATTGCAGGTTTTATGTATAGATGTCTAAGAATCGCTGTACATGTGTACAATACCATGTCCATGCTATTTTTATATGATCAGTCGATTCTGACATGGGAAGTTTTCTTGGTTGAGTCACACGATTGTAGAATTAGTAAAAGGGTAGGTGTGATTTCTTAAACAAGGTCAAATTGTATTAGTTAGGTTGTCGAAGATTGGTGTCTCTTTATGACATTAAACTTGGTTGTTCAATAAGATGATTTATGTAGAATTGAAATAGGATCGAAGAGGTCAGAAACCTACGAACCACAAATCCATTACGTATCTAACTTAAAAGATAAAAAGAATTTCAAATATTACAACAACGCCATTCTTAAAATTCATTTAGTACATTTTCTACAACAATGGGGCAATAAAATATTACACATTATTTTTTAACATTGGCTTGATACACTGGGCTAACCTATTCGGTTTTTATTAAAGAATGGATAAATACATTTTTTACTTATAGGATACAAAGCAGACGTCATCGTTCATTCGACAACAGTGGCTCCAACTGGGAATCTCTGTCCCTTGGGAGTGGAGGTCTGCCATTACCAGCCTCTAAGTCGGTTGAAAGGTTCTCCGCTCTCTCTTTCGACAATCGCCCTAATAAACTTGGTTTGTCTTCTAATGAAGAGAGTGATGTGTGGGAACTGTTAAATCCCGCTTTCAAGCTTTGAACATGTTGCAAGCAAACTTGAACAGCATCATGTACTCTCACGAAGTACCATTCTTTGCCTATCAACTCCACCAGACCGGATTTTGACAAGGTGAGCAGAACTTCTGGGCTTGGATTGGATATTGCAATCTGCAAGAAGAATAAGTTGCAGTTGGTTAGCGCGCCCACTGTAGATCTTTGATGATAATTTCAAGCAATCTAACAGTAGTTGAAATTTCATAATCTTATTCTACCTGAACGTCCCGTAATTTGTACTCCTGATACAAGTCTTTCAAAGCTTGAACAGCACTGGAATCTATATAGGTCACAGCTGCAGCCATAATCACATGCTAAGATTAGAAGAAAGAAAGAAGCAGAATTATCATCATTATGCCTTTCATAGTTTAGTTATGAGCAACTATAGTGCAAAACAACATTTAAAAACTCAATAAAATGTGGCTCATGTAATTCGGCACTCGAGGGAACTTGAAAATAACGAGAATGACCTGCTGAAAACATCAACTACAGTTATGACACAGTTAATTACAATTAGATATTTTAATAACCTCATTACACTATTAACGATTTATGGGTCGTCACAAGTGCAGATTGATAAAATTATATAATCAATCACTTTGATTTGCTCTTAAACAAAATCGCAACATGCTCAAAAATATGTTAGCTTAAATAATGCTCAAGCACATTAACAATACGTCATATGCCTCTTTCTGCACATTGCAAGGAAGACTTACGTGCCATCTCAAGAATCACAAAATAAATTCTTTCAACCTCAGGTCCACGGCTTTTAGAACTATCAACATCAACTTCATATTCACGCAACCTGATAAGAAAACTCCAGATGAATGAAAGCATGCTCTTGATTGGAAAAATGTCAAAAACAACTCACTTCTCATTACCTGTCCTTTATGTAACTCGTGTTTGCAAAATAAATTGGAGCATCAACACGAACGATTACAATACCATTATATGTATATGCTTCAGGATACTGTTTGACATTCCTATAAACAGTTGTTCCTGGCAAACGACCTAAAACAGCTGCAGTGAAGACCAAACAGTAATGTCAGCATACTAACGTATCTTACACGATATTTACATACGCAGACATTCCAGTTTAGGAAAATACAAAAGGACTAATCTTGTATTAGGTGCAAGATTGAAAATTTCATTTTTACTGGTTATATTAAACTTGCAATGCATACATTTTTAAAACAAATGTCCTATCATATTTTGCAATTTAATTTCCTGTTTTTATCTGTTAACATTTGAAGATTTTGATTGCAGTCTTCCAATACTGATGCTAATGATTATCGTGTGGTCAGTGGTTTCTCTTTTATTCTTTTATGGACACCTAATGGGTTCTGCAATATTGTTGTTTATCAGAAAATTATTTTTTCAAAGGTCATGTCATAAATGTGTTATTTTCTAATTCATGTATCCACATACAGAAATACCTATATATCAGTCTCAAGGTACTCATTTGAAAGAAATTTTAGAATTTAAGAATTACATGAATGATATGATTCTCCAATATGCTCAAAAGTTAGCATTTATAATGAATGTGGTTCAACTCTATAGACATGATATAAGTGTGGAGCAAACAAGAGCATGCATAATTTCTGAACCTAGACATATCAACTTACCAATATGTGGATTTGCTGACTCATGAATGACAAAAGCAAGTGAAACCCCAACCTACAATTTCAAAAACCTTTATAAATTGAGAATAGTTATAATCCTTAGCATATGGAAAGCACCACAACTTTTGCGTGTCCAATACAAGAAAATCATTTTGAGTGAATCCAATATCTGAAGAAATGATTCTTCTCTGTATGAAAGCAAAGCCAATAAAGCACTAAAGTTTTAGCCAACAAACAAGGTTTCACAATAAATATGCATAACCAGATAAATATTTCAACCTCATCAAGTAGATGCATCAAGATATGAACAGTTTCTAACAAAAAAATCAGAAAAGATCTTTTTTACAGTAATAATGCATCCATTACTTAATAACAAAAGAATCCAACGCATACTCACCCCAACAAGGACACCAATCTCAATACCAAGGAACAATGTTGTAGTACTAGTAATGGTCCAAAGAAGAAAATCTTTCTTATCAACACGCCACAAAAAAATGGCCTCATCATAGTCTATCTGAAAATTCATGCCAAGGATTAAGAATGTATAGTTGACAAACAAGATAACCATCCAAAATGATAGGGTAGCTAAGCAGAGTTTATCTAAATTGATGAATTAATAAAGTATAAAGGGTTAGCAATTAAGATATTCATTATAAATTAATTGTTGTACACATAACGTATCTCTTTACCAACAATACGAATTAACACTAACTAACTAAACACATCAATGCAGTGTATTGGATTTCAATATGTTCATGTTATCTAAATCAAAGACTGATATTCTCATAACAGTCTGAACAAGGATAGAGACAAACTCTATTTTTTAACATTAGATTTTCCGTTTTATACTGCATGAAAGTAGTAATGCCACCTCTTCCTCTCTTTTCTTTTCTATATTGAATAAAAATCACTTTTAACTATCCATGGATGTTGAACAATTAATAGTTGAGCATAAAAGAAAAATCTTACCAGACCTATCACAGCTGAGATCACAATAGCAGCAAGGGTACACTGGATTGTTGTAGCCAGAAAATTCATCATTAGCATTCCAGAAAAGAAAGTGCATGTCTTACATTTGAGTGACAGACAGAAATAAAGTAAAAAAAGAAAAAGGACAGAAAGAAAGGGTAAACGGGGGCCTTTTTTAAAAGGAAAAGTGTTTTTTCATTAAAATATATGCTTATAAAATTTATAGTAATTATGTATGTTTAAAACTAAAAGAGCAAAATGTTCAAAATATTCTGTTTTTGTGGTTTTTTTCATGAGCAAAAAATAGAAGATTTTGAAGAAAAGCAATTAAAACCAATTGTATTACAGCATAAATTTTTTAAATTTAAGTAAATGACTCTAAAATTTGGAAGTCTTAATGCCATATCAATTTATTCTTGATGTTATAGATAAAAAAATACCAGCAGAAGTCATTTGTAAAATGTCTCAAATGGAGGTAGAACCTTCATTGAATATAGGGAAAAATATTTTCAACATGACCAATAACCTATAAAGGCTTGAATACAAACCTGAGGTATGTACTCAAATAATGGTGTAAGAAACATAAGTGCGCAGACCATTATAATTCCCGAAACAATCCCAGATACTCCAGATTTTGCACCACTTTCATGATTTACAGCTGATCTTGAAAAGGATCCTGCATTAGTCATCAAAAAAATGAAAAATATTTTAATATTAATAATATTTTTTACATTTAAAAATAAGTTTTCTTTCAAGTTAATCATAATCTTGTAATTAATTGACACTTTGGAACCAAAAGCTAAGCAGCCAACTAAAATGACTCCTTATTTTTCATGCCCAATTGAATTTTTACCTGTAGTAGGGTATGCTGAAAAAAATGAACCAAGAACATTGGAAACGCCAAGACCAAACAACTGTCCAAAAATATCAGGAAAAACAGTTAACTATTTTTACTCAAAAAATATTAGATTCTTGCATAAACATTTAGGAGGGGATTCCAGACCTGTCCAATCCAATAGTAAGTAGGAGCAGTAAATATATTTTGGAAAGCAATATACCTCTTGATTTGAATCCAATTCATACCCATTCTTCGCTGCTAATGCCTTGGCAATTCCCACTGATTCCTGTAAATTGAAATATAATTTAATTGGAAAAATAATTCTCAAGATACAATTTTCTTTAAATTCAAAGAGGTGAAACAGGAAAACTTACCAGTATAGCCACACCAGTTATGAGAATAGCAGTAGGAATTAAAGACTGTGCATACTCAAAAGCTTTTGGGACAGAAAATTTTGGTAGGCCCTGAGGTATTTCTCCCACCTAATTAAAAACAAGTATTATTTGCCAATTCTATCAGCTTCATCAAACATGCTAGTGAGTTTCTGACCTTAGTCATACATAATTCTCATTTACAAAAGAACATTTATATATGACAATAACAAGAGAAGTAAACCAAGAAGGAATACTAACATCTGTACAAGACATTCAAATGATAGAAGACATTCTCCAATAATATAGACAAATGAAAGAAGTTTACACTCAAACAAGAAAATTAATTCAACAAGATCAATTGCTTTTTGGTTCATTACATGTCTGAGGCGTGATGTAATTGTGAATGGGAATGAGTCATTGCTCGTGCATTGTGTCTTCTAAACAAGATTTTGTTTGCTTATTAAAAATTACTACTTTTTTGGTTCATCCCAAAAAAACAAATTTCCAAACTACAGAATATCCCTTATACCAGTTTTCTTTAATTTATGTTTGACAATTATAGGGGTATAAGAACAAAATGTTTTAGTATTAGTACATTACAGTTAAATCCAGTTAATGGTACCACATCCTCATCTATTCCTTTTGCAGCCTTAGATTGTGTAGTGTTATTACTTTGATAAATTAAAAGACCAACCTCATTTTATTAGTTTCCTCTTTACCTCAAAACCGAGGGATTGTGTAGTGTTATTGCTTTGATCGGTTAAAAAATTGACCTCATTTTATTAGTCTCTTCATCTTCGTCTCAAGATTGAAAGGTTGTTTAATGTGATTACTTTGATCGGTCAAAGGACTGAACTCATTCTATTAACCTATTCATTTCCACCTTGAGTCTGACAGGTTATGTAGTATTACATCATGCGTCAGTATAAAGCTCGACTTTTCTAGTCTATCTAAAGACCAATCTCAATCACAATGTTTTAATTAAAAAATTAACTAAAACATTAACTATGAGACCCTAAAACTAAAGCCTATGATCATCAACTAACTGCAAAATACACTTGTAACTAAGAGAAGTTATAATCACATAGGGCAGCTAACTGTCAAGTCATTATAATCAGAAACGTGGGGAGTTAACAAAAAAATTATAAATAGACATCCAAGTCACCATTAAAAAGGAGATATACATTGAATGCTGTGGTAGTAGAGTCTAGAACCCTATCCAAAGGTTTTATGCCAACACAGATTTGTATTACTATTACCATTTATGAAGTTAAAAAGTTCATGCTAGATATTTGATACTCACCAAAGAAATTGATGGTGGATGAAAAACTTTTGCAAAAATTGTTCCCAGAACTACAGCTGTAAGAGGACCTGCTGCTCTCAAGAATCGCAAGTACTTTCTTGATTTTCCCTGGTTGTATAACATCAATAGAATGAGTAGGATGTTGATATCTTAGATAAGTAATGTACCAAATATCAGAGATAGATTCATACCAGGTGTTTCATGACGAGTAGTATCGCAAGCATACTGGATCCCATCACAAAAGGGGGCCATGAAAACTATAAAAAGGGAAAAACAACTCTGTTAAAGAAGGGGTTTGATAAGTGAAAACACCATGATAACTTTTGAAAAGAGAAAACAATGCAGAAAAATCAACATATGGTGACTTTGAGGTATTGATAAATAATATGTTCACTGAAGGCTGAAGTTCAAAATGCAATCTTGATCAAAACAACCTATTATGGACACAAAAGGGCATTATAATTTGATGAATTGAAATTAAACATATAAAAATAAGGACATAAAAAAGTGGGGATTAAAAAACTTAAACTACAGGAACATATTTGAAAATTGAAGGGTCATACAAATTAATTCAATAAAGTTTATATTGTTTAGATGTTACTAGAAATTGTTTTAGCACCCAGGTTTTTTTTATGTTTTCAATGGTAGCATAGTCTCAATCCTAGTCCTCATGGGATGAGTTACATCCATGAGATTTTTTTGATGTTCACAATGCATTTCAGAATCAATGTTCAACTCAAACTTTTTAGACAAATTGCAGTCTTCTTGCTTGTATGCCACAACCAAATTTCAGATTGACCTTGAAGCTAAAGGAACCACAATCGTTAAGTGGAAATTATTTTTACTTCTTTCAAATTAATTTTCAATTATTTTATATTTTAGCTTCCCAGACACAATTTACTTGGAATGAATGGAAACCCCAGTCCTTAAAGACCATCATCCTTCCTTGTGCAGACTCCAAGACCCCATCAAACCCAGAATTTCAATTGTACAGACAGTTCACCATACCCGAGCACATGCTAAGTTGTCCCTAAAACCACGTTTTTAGTTATAATCTATCCATTTTCACCTACAAAACCTAACTACACGATTTAGTTATCAGTAGCATCTATAACTATATGTAGGCATGTAGTAAAGGTTAAAAATATAAAGAAGCTAAAGAATCAATTCTCCTACGTCAGTATATTGCCTGCAACTTTTTACCATAAAAATTGCTAGATCCATACCACCTATCTAAAAAATCCCATTGAATAATTCAAATGTTAAACGAATTGCATACCTTATCTGCTCCATCTATTATACTCTTAACTACTGGGATGATCTTGCTACTTTTGTCTAAATCATACCCCAAGAAGTACTTTGCTTGAGATAAACCAATGACAATAGCTGAAGCAGTTGTAAAGCCAGAAATCACTGAATGGCTAATGAAACGAATAAGCCATCCAAGCCTGAAATACCCAAAATACAAAGTACATAGAGGTTATCCTTAAAATCCCTTTAATAAAAAAAGGATCAGACTTGATGCCTAGTGCTTAGCCTGCAGAATCATATAACTGCTACAGGAGTCCAATCTCTCCTCTTGTTATAAAACAGTCAGCTTGCAACTTAAGCCATTAAAATATTAGCTTAAGCCATTAAACTATAATGGCATTACGACAACCACGTTTATAGGTATACCAAAATAATCATTTAATCACTTGTGCATGTCTAGATGCATGAATACAGAAGAGAAAGTAGAATTATGTATTAATTAGTGTATGATATGCATGAAAGAGAAAGAACAAGCAATGAAAATTTCACGCATGGATTTCCTAGCCAAGTTAAGAAGGCATATCTATATTGATAAAAGTAAGGAATGGTGAAAATACCTCAAGAGTCCCATTACACACTCCAATATCCCAACCATAAGGGACAGTAATATTGCCAGCTCTGTGTATAATTCACTGGAGGAATCAGCTATGCCACTTAGCACGTTACTTACCAAGAGAGAAACCAATGCCACTGGGCCTACTGCAAGCTGGCGAGAAGACCCAAATATGGCATACACAAATAGCGGCACAAAACCAGAGTCTTCCTTGCAAAGATAAATAATATCAATAAGCAGGTATTGTACATAATTTCTGGACGTAAACATTGATGGCGCATCGAAGTATCATGAAAATGCAGAATGAACGATTTGCAACTAAAAGATAACTGGTGAGAGCATAAGGGTAGAATTCCATCGACATTCAAAATGGCAAGAACAGCATTTTTGCACAGAACAAGGAGAGATAAGACTCTTCTAAATATTACACCAGACTTCACTCTTCTAAATTTCTAGCGATACAGTGTGGAAATTTGTTTTTACAACAAAAATCAAAAGTCAATCCAAATCATATCAGGAAAAAAGAAAGAAATATAACACTGCAAATTCAGAAGACAATTAAACATGGAACTGTGCTTAACTATACATACACAAATCACAAAACTCATCCAGAGCACGCTCAGTTCAGCAATCTTACAGAGTCCATATATCGGTTGAAGTCCAGCCAATTTAGCATACGACATCGACTGCATCAACAATTAACAAACAAAAAAACCATCGATTATCTCAAAACCACACAGAAGAGCTAGCAATTCAAATACATCCCACAGAAAACAAGATTCGACCGATTACCTGAGGAACGAGCATGACACCGACGGTGATTCCGGCCATGAGATCAACCTGGAAATACTCGCGCCATTTGTAGATGCGAATCCAGCGGATGCAAGGGAGGAAGAACTCGAGCCACTGGAGCCACGTCATCCGCCGGAGCCCGGCGGTCCAGCGCGCGAAGGCGACGTTGGGCGGCGGCGAGGAGGAAGAGGTGGCGGTGGGGTGCTGGAGAGGAATGATCCTGAGGGGACGAGGGGCGGTGGCGGAGGAAGGCATGGTGGAGGTAGCTGCGGCGGCGGCGACGGCGGAGAGGTCGGAGAAACTTGGCGATGCGTAGGTTATCTCCATGCGCACTGCCGGCACATTATATATATACAGTGAGAGTTCAGAGCATGCAGTCTGAGTGGCGCATGGTTTAAAAGTGGAATGCAAACACGAACGAATGCGATGCGATGGTGGTGAAGAGTTGACGAAGCCAAGGAAAATAGAAAATGGGACCCACCACCAAATCACCAAATCTTCTTCTCCCTTTCATCAATTTTTTAAACCTAAAATTCAATTTATATGAGGTTGGCAGAGACGTGGGGGAAAACTTCACCCACGTCACTACCCATTCATATTAACATATTCTCCATAACATTAATGGTTGTGACAAATTCAAAAATCCTAATTATATATTTTTTTTAATCTAACAATTTTACTATTTACAACTTTGATGAAACAAGTGTTATTATTCGATTATCATTTGATTTAAACTTACCAAAAATAATTATGTATTTTAATTAATTAATTAAAATAATTAATTCATATTATTATTATTTAATAAACTTAAATTAAATTTGTTTGATGCTTTTATGATTATTGTCTGTCTATGTTTTTCTTATATTAATAAAAAATAATAATTAAATATAAAAAAATATTATATTATAAAATCAGGACATAATAAAACAGTAGATAAAATAAGTATATTTTTTATACAAGTACATCAAATACTTAAAAACTAAGTTTTAACACTGCCAATAATTTCAACCAACTTTAACTTAACGGTATCATGCAAAAAAACTACTTACAAATTAAGTTTTTCTATGGTTACATTAAATACTTAAAAATTAAGTTTTTATGTATGGTTACATGAAATACTTAAAAATTAAGTTTTAATCACTAGCACGCAATTTATTGGAGAAGATTAAAAAATTTGGTGCGAAGACAAATCAATTACGCGTGTCAATGTGTTAGCCACAAATGTGGGTCCTTAATTTTCATTAATTAATTAAATAACTAATAACTAAAGCAACGAGGATTCAATTATCATAGAATAAGCATTTAGTTAGTCAAAGTTCAAATGCATATATATATATATATATATATATATATATATATATATATATATATATATATATATATATATATATATTATGTAATATCTTTGTACTATAATAACACTACGCAACAAAATTGTTAAGAAAAATGAAAATTGAATTATTGGGATGAACCTAGACCCTTTTTCGGGCACATTCAAACTCAGATTGAAGACCAATTATGTACTTTATAAGAATTAGAAGTAATCAATTTCATCTTTGAATTTGCATTGTATCTTAATAAGGTAGTGTCTTGTGTATTTCATGATTTTTTTTTTGTTTAATTCAGTGTGATTAAAAAAATAGTATGTAAGTTAATTTTAATTTGTGAACAAATTATTTGAATATTTTTTATTAATATTTATAGAAAAAATTATTCAAACTTGTAGAGTTTTTTTTAGAACTGTGCTTAATTTAAATCAACCAGCATCATTAATCATCCATAAATTATAAACAATGTGTTTGAGAAGAAATTGTGACATTTTTGTAAAATTGTTTTCATAAACAAACTCGCTAATTCTTATCTTAATTTGTATATAAAACCAATCTTAAACATCAATCATTTTGAAATAAAAGGAACAATTTTTCCTCTTTTTACATATTTTATTATTGATCGTTGTTTTTATCATTTTTATTTTTTAAAATTATTTATTTGATCTTAAATCCTAAATCAATATACAATACAAATAATTTATTTTATTTGAGAATGACAATATAGTTACGAAATGCTATTTAAAAAAATATGGAATGACAAACTATATTAATCAGTCTTGTGGAAATATAACATTTATTTGAAATAATAATAATAATAATAATAATAGATAATATAAAATCAATAAAAAAATGTAGAAAAAGAAAAGTTGTATAAAATAATTAAAGCCAAAAACATATTCATTGACCCAAAAGGACTTAACTTCATGCAACCAACATACTCATTGACTTCCGTCCTTCTCATTCTTAATCTTTGAATGTTTTGTGCAAATATAATTGTTGACATTTTCAAAAGCTAATCCCAAACAAGTAAGAGATTTTTCTAGAATGTGATAACATTCAAACAGAGTGTGCTAAATAAAAGCTGTTACAAGAGTATGTTTGACAAAGTGTAGAGAAATATGTAAGATAAAAAAAAAATTATAATAATAGTAGATCAGAAATAAAATCAAAATTGAAAAACTGATTGATTTTAAAAAAAAAAGATACCAAAATGGGTAATAACGGACCGGAAATAATATAAGTCTCACCAGTTTTAAAATTATTTATCTTTTATTTCAATCTCAGCAAACATCTTATTTTAATTTCTTTTTCATCGATCCTCTCTGTTCCACGTAACTAAACAATGTAGAAAGTTTATTTTGTTACCTTTTTCATTTAAATGAATATTCTAAAATGAATCCATTCCTAGTAAGAAAATGGATCAACAAAAATCATAAAACGTCAACAATTCAATGATTAATCTGTTCGAAAAAATGAGGCAGATACATTGAAATTCGCATGGTATTCCTCGAACAAAAATTTAAGTTATACATAGTCTTAGGTCGTTCAAAAAATTTGAATACAAGCCTCGTTCGGACTTAAAAAGGAAATCTCTGACCATTTTGAATCAATTATAACAAGTACAAAATAAACTCTGGCTATTGCATATAATATGCATAGTGTACTCATGAGCACATGGCTTATGTAATCTCTACTCCATTGTATATTATACTTGTTCATGTTAGAAATAACAAAACAAGCACACAACACCTTAAATCTTAATTAAGGTAGAAAGAGTGCAGTGTACAAAAATAAAAAGATTCTATCTCCCCTAAATGGAACCTAGAGGGTCTTGCCTGATAAGACTATCTTGATATATCCCGACTGCCACAAGGTTGAATTGATAACTAGTATAACTAACATCTTAGTGATTTACACCAGAGGTTCAGTATTCTGAACTATCAGAAAAGGTTCACATTTACTACTGACAGAAGATGAAAGGACAAATGAAATAAACAATGACATTGTTTTTCTTTATTGCTGCTAAGAGTGAGCTTGTGCGTGCTCAGGTTTGTGACTGTACTCATAATCAAGATGAACAAAAGCACGCTCGATCTCAGGTAAGAGCTCAAGCTTCTCTTGCAATGATTCCCCAATATCGTGGGCCTCTTGCAAGGGCATATCTGATGGTAGCACAATATCAACTTCAACAAAGTAATGAGACCCGAATGTGTATGCCCGAACTGTATCAATGTGCCTCACAGCCTTGTGGTGGTTCCAACATAAGTATGTGAGTTTCTGAAGGTACTCTGGTGCAGCTGATTTTCCAACCAATGAATTCACATTTTCCAACACTGTCATTGACCAAGTGCGAATGGTGTACAACGCCAGCTGCAGTACAAGAGTTGCTCATATAAGGAAAACATAAAATCATTAAATAATCAGGTATAAAATGGTGGCAAGTTAGATATATAGATATCACAAGAAATTATTTTCAGCAAAGAAAAGTGCTAGGAAGAACCAATGATGATTCCCCACAATCTTAGAACATCCCCAATAGTACACCTAAAGTGCAGGTTTTTAATTACATCATGTTTAAGAGCTTTATCAGTTTTCTACTCTAAAAGTACAATAATCTAAGAACTTGAAAATAGATTCCACATATCTCAAAATGTTCTTTAATCCTGAGACCAGTTCACCTCGCAAGAACTGTCACTGTCATTGGGAATGTGTGCAAGACATAAAAGGTGTGTATCAAACCATCATAATATGCACATAGTTCAAGGAGAGGTGACATTAAGATAAGCTAATTACATAGTCACAAACATTCAACATTGTTCTTCTACAATGGGAGATTTCATCTTAAAGAATATAAGACCCGATTTATTAGAATAATAGGAGCATATAGCAGAAGCTGAGATACAGATGTCTACGATTGTTGATGGATGATATTACTGGAAATATTTTAATATTTTTGTAAACTGTGGTTCTGATAGTTTTGACTTTCTTAACTGTTCATTCACGGAAAATTCGTTTACAAAATGTCAATAAATTCTTATTTCTTTCATTTTATTCTCTTCTATAAATAATAGATTCTTAATCACAGCCCTTAATGACAATTTAATATCATTTCTAATATGTACAAGCTAAAATCGGAAATCTAATAATGATGCTAGTTATTAGGCAGATTCTATTAGTCAAAAAACAAAAAAGGAAATAATGGCCCCCTAATCGGACCGTAACTAACAACAAACATATAATCAACTTTTAAATTTAAGGAAAATTTGAGAGCAAACATATATATATGTATATATCCTTTCCTAGGGCACAAATAGCAAATACAAAACCTCTAACAAAAAGAAAGTATTCACTTACAATGATAGCACCAACAGGATCCATCCAATCATCAACATAATTTGCCAAAAGTGCAGCAATAAGGCCAATGACATTAGTGATCACATCAAAAAAGTGATCCTGGGCATAAGCTTTAATAATCTCATTAGTAAAAGTGCGGCAATAAATCATCAGTAAGAATTTCACCAAAGTCACTGAAAGCATGATTCCTACAACCCATTGCTCTTGTTCCCTGGTCAAGTTGAATGCATTTCCCTGGACATTATTAAATCAATATACATTAGGTCTACCAAGAAATAAAAAATATTCAGGAACTAAATGAAAATGTATAGTAGTTCGATCAGTTTAGGGTCAACTTTGCCTCTAGAAATATAGAAAAAATCAACTTACAGAATATAGTAATGTGCGGACAGACTCCAAGATTATTTGCAGCCCCAGTGTAGCCATGACAGAGGCAAAAACAAGAATTCCCTGTACCAAATTTTTGAATTTTCACTTTACAGTTTAGTCTTTCTATATAGAGCATATGTATACACAACCAAATTGTATGTCAGCCAGTTTTCTTCCTTGATATGTAATTTGATTACCAAGTAACTCCTGTTAATCACTAAGATCATATTACTGGTGATGATATGATTTAAGGTGATTATTCACAAGCTTCAAACATAATATTAATTAAGAGGACTGACCAATGGTTGCATCCGTTTCTTTCCAATAGGGTACTGATATGGGTTTGGTGTCTGCATGGAAAACGCAGTGAACCAGAGGATGAATCCAGAAAGGAGGTCAAGAAGGGAGTCTAAAGTCGATGCAATGATGGCTAGGGAACCACTTCTGATCGATGCATAAACTTTGGCGACAAAGAGAACCATGTTTGCTACATTAGACAATCTGATGGCAAACGTCTCGCTTCTTGCTAACTTATCTCGCTCCTCCTGCCCCATATAGAGGTGGATATTCAGCCAAGGCATTTGACTAGATATACTAGAGAGCATAAAGGAGAAAATGAAATAGAAACCTTTGACATTCCAGGAATAAAACCACGCTCTGCTAGGGCATCCATTTCGGTAAAGCCCTCAAGCACTTCAACTTGCTGCTGGTAGTACTCCGCAATATTATCCTCTTGACCTGAAGAAATATATAACAGAAGAAAAAAAAAATCAAGACAAAACCCATGAAATCCCTTTTAATTAGGTAGAAAAGATGACACACTGAAAGCATACTATTCAAAGACACGGCTAACCTCTTTAGAAATGGAAAAGAAAAATAAGATATAGCTTCACGGATGAAGAAAAAGATATTTAAAGCCATAATTATGCTTTAAACTTCCATGGTCCCAAATATAGGGCAAATGAACTTCATATTATGGACCACAAGAGCTTTATAGATAGTTCACAAACCAGAAAACATACAAATGAAGTCAGCACAACAAGCAGAGGCTTATATGCAAACTCGGAAAGTATAAGCTCAAGTATACAAATAAAACAACAGCCCATAGAGAATCAGTTCAAATGCCAAGCATCAATTTTGTGAAACTTCTTCCGCTAAAAACACAGAAACCCCATAATGAAAAAAGAAAAAGAAGGTCAGTGTCCAATAGAAGTTTTGCCTCTTATTTCTAAATCTTCCAAGTGCAAAACCCTATACTCCATCTCCAGCAACTGCCCCAAAAGGCAAGCAATACTCAATACATAAAAAATCCACCTCAACTTCTTTTATATAACAATAAAGGCACCACATCATCAGCCCAAAAAGACCCCACACACACTATACCTATGCTACTTCCAAATTCCTGCACACAATACTCAACATGGCAAAAAGGGAATTAAAACAAAGTCCTCTACTCAGACTAAATGAAATCCAGTAATAATAGCATCTTTAAGAAAACAAAAACAATATCTGCACTTATTGCAGAGGGGACACTCACTATACACAAAAAAAGAATAAAAACGAAATGGAACAAAAACCACAGCAAAATTGAAACCACAATCAACTACATCCACTATCGTAAAGCAAATAGCAGATTCATATTCCGAAAAAAAAGTGAAAGAAAATCTATGTCAACTTATAAAAAAGAAGATTCCAAAAATGAACAATAACAATAATTGAAAAAAAATGCAAATCGAAGATGCGATTGTAGTGTTGTGTTACCTAGAACCCCATAACAGTCATGGAGTCCACGAGAGGGTTTCACTTGCTTCTCCATGTGCACCGAAGATATCTGAAACCCATCGAAGTTCAACCGCCAGGACCGGTCACCATTGTTCGAATCTGAGAGGAGCGATAGCTGCTCTTCGCTACAAACCTCCACCGGCTCAACCATTTCCCAGTCGCCTGAGAATCTGATACAAACGGCGACGTTTTGAGTAGCCCCCAAGGAGCAAAGAATGGAAGCTGAGTCGTCGCTGTTGTTGTTTGTTATAAGAAAAGAAGTAGCAGATTTTTGAACCGGGAAAGTGGGATTCAATGAAAAAAAAAATATAAATAAATCAAAGCAAGTGTTGTATGAGATGAGATCTAAAGGCGCGTGAAGCACGCAGGCGTGCATTTCGGCAGAGGTCGACAAGTGTTGAGCTTTCATTGGCGGTGTTAGAGAGTCGCGCGTGTGATGTGGTTTTGTGGTGGTTACATGTGGACGGATAAGATTCTTTGAGCGCAAGATTGTTTCGATGTGGCTGCTTTACAGGAGCCGCATGAATCTGAACCTGTGGGGTCTGGGTTGCGTCGTGTCTGGTTTAGGCATTGGACTGTGTTACGACAATAATTCCATGCGGTCAAGTCCACAGAATTTGGAGATGCTTGGCTAATGGTGCTTTGAAACGTGACTGGTTTCTCTGATGATGGTTATAAAGACATGGGATTGATTGAACTGAATGGATGAGAACATGAGTATATGCCATTCATTATACATAGAATGTGTAATTTTGTTACCATGTATGTGATGTATAATAATTGAGAAGTATTTTATTAATATGTGGTGAGTGGATTCTGGGACCCACTTTGCAACGTGATGTACATGACATCTCCATCTCATCATTAATGCTTTTGGTACCATTTGAATCTTATCATTCAAACTTTAAACTTATTCAAGATTATCAACTTCGCAAATGTTTGGTATTATAAAAATAAATAATATTATATATGATATATTTTTATGGTTTGATAAGGTTAAATTAAGAATAAATGGATAAACTTTTTATAGAATGCATCTCTTTCTAAATTGAAATAAAAGAGAAAATGATTCTTTTTTAGAATTTAAAAACAAACAATTTTATTTATACTATATATCTTATATTATAATAGTTATATTAATTAATTTTTTATCAAATAATCAAAATATATTTGTTTGGATATGTTCTGAGTCAATCCACTTAATGGACCATAACACTTCTTGATTTTGTTTGATTCTATTTTCAGTGCAGAAAATGATCAATAAATGACAGAGACTGAAAATGCTCAGTATATGACAGAGAATAATATATTTAAAATTAATTATCAAAATTTAAAATATTTATTAAAATTGTAATATATAGTTTATATATTAAAATATGTGTTTTATTATAAATTTTTATTTTTTGTAAAATAAAGATTGGGATTAAGAATAGTTTAAATATTTGTTAAAATTTTAATTCTAATATAATTTATATATTAATATGTATTTTATTATAATTTTTATCTTGTGAAACAAAGATTTGCTGTGGCAATAATATAACAGTGAGCAAAAATAGGTCAATTGGGTTATGATATTTTCCTCAACTTTGACTTTAATCATTTATAAGATCTTAATGTATATTTTTTTCAAGATGAATTTTGACTAAATGGATCTGAGTTGATTAAATAATAATTAAATATACTTAAAAAAATTGACATATGTAAAAGAATATAAAACATAGATAATAATAGAAGTTAATAAGTTAAAGAAATTATTTATTAGATAATAATAGAACTTAATAAATTAAAGAATAAAAAAACATAAAATATACTGTAAATATATAATAATAATACTAAATATAAATAATAAAAATTTAATAATTTAATAATCATTATTTGTGTATTTTTTATTTATTTATTATTTAGTAATAATATATTATTTATGATTAATATTGTTGATTTTATTATTAATTGCTAAACCTTGATTCATGTACGTATACAAAATCACAATAGAATTCCGTAAAAATAAAAACATCACAAAAATAAATAAATAAATAAAATATATGAAAAATACATTCAAAATTATAAAATAGATCATATAATATCAAATATTAGTTATGAATTTATTATTATCAATAATTATAATAAAAATGGTTATAAATTAGCACTAAATACAAATAATGATAAATAAAATAAAAAGTATATTTTTTATTTTTTTAATTTACCTTCCTTCTTTATATTTTTAAATTAATCATTTTATATTATTTTTTAATATGCAATTTTAATCATTTTTCATATTTAAATTTATCACTTGATTATGTTTTGTTAGCTTAACAAAATTGATAGAAGGATAAAATGTGATTCTAATAATTATTTATACTTAAATTTTACATACTACAAACATTTTTTTAATATCTATAAATTTATAAAAAGATTAAATTCACATATTTGATATTTTTTTTAAATTAATGTGTAAAATTTAAAACATAAGAATAAAAACCATTTTTTTCAAATATCTAACCTTAAAAAATAATTGTTTAAATCTTGAAAGAAAAATAAATTTAACTAAAGACATAATTGTTTTTTTTTAATCTTTAAATTTTTAAATTTTTGTTTCATAATTATTTGTTTAAAATTTAAAATCATTACCGTTTATTGATTTTTAAAGATAAAAAGTATTTTTTTATGATGATATTTATGTTATCTTATCTCAATATTTATTCTGCGCCATTCCCACGATTTTGATTAAATTATTAAAATCATTTTTTTAAATATGTCCGGGCTTTTCATCTTTTATTTTAAATAAAATTTAAATTAGATATATTATATAAGTTTTTCTATTTTTATTTTATTTTAAATTAATCTCAATGTTTTTCCAAATTTAAAATAAAATTAAATAAAAAACCCTAATACTTTTAATTTTAAGTGAAATACTAAATTTATATTCTTAATTTATTCTTAGATAATTTACATAAATGTGTTATTTTGTTACAATATATGTGATGTATAATAATTGAGAAGTATTTTATTAATACGTGGTTGTGACCCACTTTGAAATGTGAGGTACATTACATCTCCATCTCATTTTAAGAATAATATATTTTAAAAAAATATTTAACTAAAATTTATATGAATTTTTTATTTAAATAGCTTGTTTAATATTTATACTTACATTTTTTTCTTTTTTTTTATTTTTTCAATTAAATTATTATAATAAAATTTTATTAAATCAATATTAAAATTCACAAACATTAATTATTTAAAATTATGATGACAAATTTTTTTATTTACGATGATATAAATAATTAATTTAAAATTATTTTATTATAATAAATAATTACTCATTTATTTAAAAAAATATTAAATATTTATAAATTAAATATATTTTGTTATTTAATAATTATAATAATTTTGATTTTTAATAATTAATTAAAATAGATAATTTTAAAAACATTTATTAAAAAACACTTAAAAATAAATATTTAATTTTTTCTTAATAATTATAATATAATATTTATATTTATAATATCTCAATTTTATTACATAATATTTTTTAAAATATAATATATTAAATTATAATATTTTTGAATTATTTAAATATTTTTATTTTTTATATTATCAAATTTTATTTTTTTTAATTAGAGAATGAGATAGAATAAGAAAAGAATAAAGAAGAAAAAAATAAACAAATACGTCCACCGATAAATTTATTTATTTTATTAAATTTTATGTATAAATAATAAACAAATCTAATTAGATAAATAAATTTATAAAAAATTTAAATAATATTAAAAAAAATATTATTCATGATATTGATCCTTTTATTCATACTTTAAACTTATTCAAAATTATCAACTTGACACATTTTGGTATTATAGAAATAAAAATATTATATACAAATTTTTTATGGTTTGTTAAGGTTAGATTAAAAATAAATAGATACACTTTTATAGAATGTCTTTCTTTCTAAATTGAAAGAAAAGGAAAAATTAATCTTTTTAAGAATTTAAAAACAAACACTTTTATTTATATATCTTATTTATAATAGTTATATTATTTAACTTTTATAATATTTTTTTATCAAATAATCAAAATATATTTGTTTGGATATGTTGTGCATCGAGTTACTTGATGAACCATAACACTTATTGACTTTGTTTGATTCCATTTTTAGTGCAGAAAATTCTCAATAAATGACAGAGACTGAAAATGCTCAGTATATGACAGAGAATATTATATTTAAAATATTGTATCACTATAAAAATTAATTATCAAAGTTAAAATATTTATTAAAATTGTATTCATAATATAATTTATATATTCAAATGTGTGTTTTATTATAAATTTGATTTTTGTAAAATCAAGATTGGGATTAAGAACATTTAAAATATTTGTTATAATTTTAATTCTAATATAATTTATATATTAATATGTATTTTATTCTAAATTTTATCCTTGTGAATCAAGGATTTGCTGTGGATATAATATAATAGTGAGCAAGAATAAATGGACCAAAATATGAGTTAATTAAATAAGATAATAATAAAAGTTAATAAGTTAAAGGTTTTTTATTAGATAATAATTAAAATATTTTCAAAACATAAAATATACTGTAAATATATAATAACGATAATACTACATATAAATAGTAAAACAAAAGTCTAAAATCTTAGTTTTTTTCCCCTGGTGGTGAGTGAAAGATTTTTATTGTCCAAAATTTTGTATCTTTTATATATTTTATTATTTTACCTTTTTCATTTTATTCTTTTATATTTATTTATTATTTATTAATAATATATCATTTAAGCTTCAAAATTAATATTCTTTTATATTTATTATTAATTGTTAAACCTGAATCAATTAATTGTTAAACCTTGATTCAAGTTATGTATACAAAATCACAATAGAATTTCATAACAAAAAATACATCACAAAAATAATATAAATAAAAAAAATGAAAAAAAAACATTCAAAATTAAAAAAATAAATAATTTAATATCAAATATGAGTTATGCATTTATTATTAATAATAATTATAACGAAAATGGTTATAAATTAGCACTAAATACAAATAATGATAAATAAAGTAAAAAGATTTTTTTAATTTATCTTCCTTCTTTATATTTTTAAATTAATTATTTTAATTTTCTATTTTTTAAAAATATGTAATTTTAATCCGTTTCCATATTTAAATTTATCACTTGATTATGTTTTGTTAGCTTAACAAAATTGATAAAAGGATAAAATGTGATTCTAATGATTATTTATACTTAAATTTTACATATTAGAAACATTTTGTATATCTATAAAATTGATAAAAAGATTAAATTCACATATTTAATATTTATTTTATTTTGAAAATTAATGTGTAAAATTTTAAACATAAGAACGAAATCCTTTTTTTTAAATATCTAACCTTTAAAAATAATTGTTTAAATCTTGAAAGAAAAATAAATTTAACTAAAGACATAATTGTTTTTTTTAGTCTTTTAATTTTTAAAATTTTAAAATTTTGTTTCATAATTGTTTGGTTAAAATTTAAAATCATTACCAGTTATTGATTTTAAAAGTCAAAAAGTACTTTTTTTATGATGATATTTATGTTATGTTATCTCAATATTTATTCTGCATCTTTCTCACAATTATAGCGAAATTATTAAAATCAATTTTTAAGATTTGTGGGGCTGTTGATCTTTTATTTTAAATAAAAATTAAATTAGATCTATTATATAAGTTTTTTTTAAGTTAATTTCAAAGTTTTTCTAAATTTAAAATAAAATTAAATAAAAAACCCTAATACTTTTAATTTTAAGCGAAGTACTAAATTTATATTCTTAATTTGTTCTTAGATAATTTACATAAATGTTCAATATTTATGTTTTTGATAAAAAAAAAAACTCATTAGCTGATAGAAAAAAATAATTTTCATATATCTTTTTATAATAAAGTATTTATTATTGTTTTTACTTTATAAAGTATTGAAATGGGAGGTTAGATATTACTAAAAATGACGGTATATTTATGGATAAGGAAAAATATTAAATAAATATATTTTTAAATGAGAATAAAGAAAATCTATGACAATATGTTGCTAGGCAACTATCTTTATCATTTATTTAAATGTTTGGCATATAGAATTCACAAGGTCAACCCTTTAAATGTATATTTATTACATTGAAGAATTAGTTTATCACCAAAAAGATGATGTATTAAAAAAAAGTAGAAAACATTATTGGTGATAGTGCTTAAAATTGTTGGGCAAATTTTCAAGTTTCAATTTTACAAGTAAAAAAATATGGTTAACGGAAAAATAGTTAAAAGAGAAAAAAAAGGTTGAACAAAATATATTTTATTTATACTTATTTACAAGAACTATAATGAGTGTAATGAAATAAATGTTAATATAATAATTAAAAATATAATTTTAGTTTGATGCTTACAGAGAAAGATAATTCTTCTTGGCTTTGAATGAAGAAGATGATAAAAACCCATCTTCAAGGAAAAAACATTGTAGTAAAGAACAACCTTTTTACTCTCAGCACGACACACATTTCTCCAACCAAATAAAAATCCCTGCTTTTCTGAGTCTCCTCACTCCTTTCTCACTCTCTCTCCTCCACCATGTTTCCATCTTCTTCCCCTCTTCTGCTCGTTGTTTTCTTTATTTCCTTGGGTGTTTCAGTTACCTCAATTTCTGTGCGGCGAGGGGCTCCACTCGATATTACTCCGGAGCAATCTAATGAATCCTTCACATACCTATGGCCCCTTCCCGCAGAGTACACTTCCGGGGACGAGGCTCTCGCCGTTGACCCTGCGCTCGTGCTCACCGTCGCCGGCAATGGAGGCGGCTCCTCCATTCTTAGAGCGGGGTTTGAGCGGTACAAAGGGATTGTATTCAAGCACACTGGATACGGGTTTGGTTTCATGAGGAAGCTAAGGGAACGGTTGGTGTCGTCTGTTTCGGCATACGACGTTGACACATTGAAGATAACTGTGCACTCAGACAACGAGGAGGTTCGTGCTCTAGATTGGAATTTTTTGGTTTGGGCTAACTTAAGCTCGTAAAATGACGGTTGATACTCTGTTATATGCACTAATTTAGTCTTGTGGTTAGTCAATGTGGATTCTCCAACTGAGTGAGGATTTTTCTATTTTGTTTTTCTCTCTGCAGCTTCAATTTGGAGTGGATGAAAGCTATACCCTGTTGGTTCCCAAAGCCAAGGATTCTTCCCAAGTCACAATTGAGGTGAGCTCCATTGTCGGATTTGGATATTCGATACTACTTTGTTTTTTTTTTTTTTTTGACATTTGGAATTGGAGTTGCTTGCTTGTTACAATACGATCTCTTGATTCTTTGATCATCCAGTCAATGTAATGCTTAGTTTATAATTTAAGAGTACCTGTGAACACTCTCTGTCTGAAAAAAAGTGGTTGATTCTGAAGAATATTTTGTTTTCTTCTTCGTGCAAAAAAGCTGAATTGAAGTTGGTTTCCGGGTTTATTTTTTCTCTGTTTTCTTGTTTTTGTTTTCTCTTTGAGGAACCTTCCTACTTTCCCGTACTGGAAACAATTCAATCAAGCACTTTTTTTTTTTTTTTTTCTGTGATTAGAGTTCAACACATATCTTGTGTATTGTCGTTGTTTATCAAAGCTCTTGTTTAGGAAAAGAAAAGAAAAACACATTGATTTAAAAATAAAGAATAAAGAATGAGAAAGGGTTGTGGTTGGATTGTTGCTTCTGGACGCAAACAGATTAAGCAAATTATGTCATTTATTTGTTAATCATCTTATTTTGTGATTTTATCATTGCAGGCAAATACTGTTTATGGTGCATTGCGGGGATTAGAGGTATGTATAGAATTTGCTTCTCAATCAGCTCAAACTGTTTTTTTTTGTTCTTCTTTTTTCTTTTTAATTTATTTGGCGGCTTGAAGGGGAGAGCCAGTGAGAGGTCAATAGACAGCTGTTAGTTCTTGTTTAGTACTTACTGGCTCTGTTTCACATTTGATTATTGGAGTCTGGATATACCTGTTGTGACATACTCTTTTTAAGATGATTTCTAACATGTATCTCCATTCTCCATTTTCATAATATAGATATGTTTTTCCATAGGATTGGCAAATCTATAAACTGCTGTTTCCTTGCATATGTAATTTCATCAATTTTCTAGAATGTGTTTCTTTCTTATACCTTTACATAGTGGAAACATAAACCCCTCTAACCCGCATATAGTAAATTGCTCATAGTCACAGTTTATCTTTTTTTTTTTTACCATGTCAAATGAAAACTAAACTATTGCTGTCTTTGCATGATGCACCAGACATTCAGCCAGTTGTGTTCTTTCGATTATACAACTAAAACAGTAAAAATATACAAGGCACCTTGGTCCATGCAAGATAAACCTAGATTTGCATACCGTGGGCTTTTGTTGGGTGAGATTCAAGTTTTCAAAGAGAAAAGTTATATCCTGCTAGCACATTTATACTCTGGCCAGAAGATAATAATACATATGGTTTTTTTATTTATCTCTTTTTGCAGATACATCAAGGCACTATTTACCAGTTACTGTAATTAAGCAGATTATTGAATCTATGTCCTATGCTAAACTTGTAAGATATATGTTGAGTTTTTTCAGTGCTGTTTTTCTTTTAATGTAATGCTGAATATTTAAAATTATGCTGCATAGAATGTTCTTCATTGGCACATCATAGATGAGCAGTCATTTCCACTTGAGATACCTACATATCCAAACTTGTGGAAAGGTTCGTATACAAAGTGGGAACGTTACACAGTTGAAGATGCACTTGAAATTGTCAAGTAAGACCTACTTAATCCAAACTATTTTTTGTTTTATAATCTTCTGTTTTTGCAATTTTCCTTGGGAATGAAAAATTACCAAGGGAACAACACGCTGAAATGAATTATTTGTCAAATCTTTGATAAAATTTACCTTTTCCTCGAAGTGTCTAGTTGTAAATAATTTTGTTAATACAATCTTTCAATTTTAAACATGTCACTAATTTTTCTATGACAAGCATTTTTGAACTGAAAATAGTCGATTGTAAAATTTAATTTGAAAATGTGCAGAGGGGACAATAAAAGCTATCATGGGGGTGGGGAAATATGAGACTACAATCCCAAAATAATACTATAATGCCCTAGTCAATTGATACATGGAATGCCTTCTCCTTTTATTGAATTGTTAGTTTCCAGTTACCATCTTTGATTTTAATTTCTTAATTTAGCATTGACAAATGTTGTGTTTTCTTTTCTTTTTCATGGTATGTTGATTTAAAGCTTCGCCAAAATGAGAGGTGAGGTATCTTCAAATTCCTTTTCCTAAGTTCTTGCTACATAATATCCTCGGCATTTTGTGTTGATCATAATTTGGATTTTATGGTTTTGTTTTCCCTTTTTGCTTTCATCTTCTTAGTATCATGCGAATACATTTATAAAAATAAAAGTGAATCTTCATGCTTTTAGTGAGTGTTTGCATGATTGATTGCAGGCATAAATGTAATGGCAGAAGTGGATGTCCCTGGTCATGCAGAATCATGGTAAAGCCATGCCTTGGTCTTTTTGCTTCATTAAGTATGGCCTCATAGTATGATAATAATTGGCTTTGTTACTGTGACACATTGAGACCCGGAAATTTATTTTACTTTTCAAAATTTATCATTAGTATTTCTTATAAGAAAGAGTTGGTTATCATAGCTTGCATTTGCAACCTGTAATTTCATTGAGTTGAATGATTCCATGAAGGAAGTTTGGTGTTGAATATAGGTATGTGCTAAATTCATTCCTCCAATGATTGATACCTGCTAGGTTTGACATTGAATTTTAATTTTTTTTTTTTGTTTATTTTAGCTAGCCATTGCTATTTTTTTTTTCCATTTCATATTTGCTTCATCTGATTATTACCAGGATTTTTAATCAATAACCTTTTTATTAAGTTGGACTTTAATCAATATTTTTATTAATTTTTTACTTTAATTGTTACTCCAGCAATTTATTATTTCTATTTTCTACTGACCAGTAGCATGCATAACAAATTTCTTAAGGTGGTTTTATTTTTGTAGGGGTACTGGATATCCTGATCTTTGGCCATCACCTTACTGTAGGGAGCCACTAGATGTTTCAAAGAACTTTACCTTTGATGTCATTTCCGGTATTCTGACAGGTTAAGTTCCTATGAAACCTTAAGCCCCATACTTGTTCAGTTATTCAGATTTGTGCATTACATTTATCAACTTTCACCTCTATTGAATGTCATTTTGTCTTCTTGAAGTCATTCTAAACACTATATTGGAAGATTATATCATAATCAAATTGAATATGTCATAGTGCTAGTTATGTAGCATGCTTAGAGTCTATCAGAGATGCCATTAATTTTAAGGGTTGAAATTGGGGATTCAAAATTACCGATACATTAAGGAGAATTTGTAGAGTGGAACTGGGTAGAGGGAGAATGGAAGAGAGGAAGAACAACAGCTGAATATTAACAAGAATTAAAGAATAAACTGAACATCCAAAGTGCATAGCAATTTCTACGTAGCCAAGCCCCTGCCAGTTCTGATAAATACCCAAGTTAATGGTCAAGTAATCCTAAATTGTAGATACTATTTATTAGAAAAGCTACTATTAAATACCCTCTACTCGATAAATATGCTAGTTTCGTTTTATCATAAATCGCTATTCCTTCACTGTGTCACCTGAGAAGTTGGAATGTGCTTGGGAGATATTAGTTACAAATATAGGTTTAGAAAGATTAATACGTAACTTAAAGCTGTGTATTCACGTCTATAAAAACTCCTGTTCCATGAGTTTTGGAAATGTGAATTGTGTGGATTAAGATCTATTGAGTGTGGATGCATGGAAATGTGATATGACCTGCTTAAGTAGCTGTAATGGGATATATAATATGACCAAAGGGTTGAATGATTCTCGTGTGCTAACCATATTGAAACACCAATGAAAATCAAGTAATTAATCTAGTCTTGTGAAGTGGAAAACGATACAAGAATATGCTAGTCTCTTTATGCTTTATTCATTTTTCTTTTATTGTTTGTTTCAGCATTAATAAAACGTGCATCTCTATTATTTTTTCTTCTGCCACATAATCTTGTCCTTGATAGATCTTGCTATGTTACTAATATTACGTGGATTTTTAAAACCAGATCATCCCAACATCTTCCCATATCTTCCATTGGTACTAGCTACACTGAAATGTGTTTAGTACTTTATTTCATCTACTGTCTCTGTTTTATCAACTGTGTTTAATTTTTGTGTAGTGTGCTCCTCTCTCTCAAGTCTCAACACCCATAAATTAACAATTCTCTCTCTTTTCATTAATTTTGCAGATATGAGAAAGATTTTCCCATTTGAGCTATTTCACTTGGGTGGTGATGAAGTTAATACAGGTTGGTCGAAGTGGTTTCTTTATTGCAACTTGCCAAATAATCACTTGAACTAAAAGCTAAATGCTTATAAATGAAGAAAAATGGTTTTCATCATTAGTACAACTTTAAGTTAATTTCTGAAGTGATAAATGCTAATTAGAATGGAGAGCAATGGATAAATCATTGATTCTGTTGGATACACCTACCGCCAACTTTCTTCCTTGATTGAAATCTATATTTTAAGGGTGCTATCTTCAATAATAAGTTAAAAAATCTGTGAAAACTTGTGATTCTTATGAGTTGGGTTTTACTAAAGTATCCTATGAATAAAGTAATCTAAGTTTAGATATTATGAGAGTTACAAGAGCTGATAAATCATCTCTTTCAATTGATAGTTTTTTTCTGTCTTCAAAAACGCTTGAAACAGAAGTTTCTTCAGCATTGTTTTCCATGCACTTATTTCTGTAAATATTTAGAAAACCTTGAAGGGGGACTGGGATTCACATTCCAAGAGGGCCTCTAGCAGTCCATAGTTTCTGAGTTTATTTATCATTCAAATTTGAAAGGGCCCCAGGTTCCTTAATATGCGTATTTTGTCTATTCAGAAGTAGTTTCATAGCAATGACCATGACTACGGCTTTGTAGCATTTATTTATATATAAATTATTGTTGAAGATATTTGCATAAATGCTAATTGATGAGAAAATATGTTTTGTTTGACAGATTGCTGGAATAATACTTCTCATGTAAAGGAATGGTATAAGCATGAACTTGTTAAACTCATTTATTACATTTCTTGATGACTTTTGTTTAGCCATTTATGTACAATTTTTGGAACTCAACCAAAACTTATTATAAATAAAGGACTTGTCAAATGGTGTGCCTTGCAGAAATAGTTTCATTGAAAACCTTGTATTTTTTTACCATGTGATGCAAAACACAGACAACAATCTCAATGTCGACTGAATGGCTCTGTTTTAGTTGTTAATATTGGCTCAATTTCCAGCATGTGAAGGGGGAGAAAAGTAATTGGGGAGATATTTCTGTCGCCATACCATTTGGCATTTTTGCAATCAACTGAAATTTTTGGGATTATTTTCTTTGAAGCCATCATGAACCAGTAATCTCAATTCCCAAAAGTTTGATTTTTAGTTGGAGATACATGAATGATTTTACATTATATCTTCGACACATCCCTCATGCAACCAATCTCTGGGCTAGGAGTATGTACAAATTCATAAGCCCATTTGCCTTGTGTTGAAATTCAACTTTTTATTAGAAGGATAGAACTTTTGGTCTTGGAGGCTCTATTAAATGTCATGAGCCAACCATTGACCATGAACGGTTTTGTATTACTTTTTTAACCAGATCATTCATAAGAAATTTGCATCTCAAGTTTTTCCTTTTTCCCCTCTCCTCACCATATTTTGTACTGGGCATTGAGATGGTTGTCAATTTCCAGTAAAGTTAACCATTGTGTTAATTGTCAATGTTAAGGCACTATCTTTAGATGTTACATTTATATTCTGTATTTTGACCATTACTCACTGTAGGCTTCAGAACCACAACAAGACCGCCAGAGATGCCTATCAATATTTTGTACTGAAGGCTCAAGAGATGGCTGTTTCAAATAATTGGAGTCCAGTGAACTGGTATGACCTGTGTGTGTGTGTGTGTATATATATATATATATATATATATATATATATATTTTGTACCCTTAATTAGTCCTTGGTACTATTTCACATGAGTATCATCTTTCCATCCAAATCCTTTCTTTCTGTTGAAAACACCAATATTTCAGAATTCAAATGCCACCCCTAGTTTGCATATGCACGAACAGTACAGGTCATGAGATCAATACGTAATTGTTCTGTTTACTAAATGCTCTTAAAATGTAGATATACATTTTTGTATTTTTTCTTGCAATTTCTCAGGGAGGAAACCTTCAATACATTTTCATCAAAGCTCCATCCAAAAACCATTGTGCACAACTGGTGGGTTTCCATCTGTATAAGCAGTTTTATTGCAGGAAAAAACTCAAATGTCTTAGTTTCAGAATAAATTATTTCAAGTAATTACTGTAGGTTGGGCCCTGGTGTCTGTCCAAAGGTTGTTGCAAAAGGATTCAGGTGCATTTACAGTAACCAGGGCGTCTGGTATCTTGATCATCTGGATGTACCTTGGGATGAGGTCTACTCCGCAGAGCCACTAGAGGGAATACATACAGCTTCTGAACAAGAGCTTGTAATTGGAGGAGAAGTTTGCATGTGGGCTGAGACAGTTGATTCATCCAATGTTCAGCAAACAATATGGCCTCGAGCTGCCGCAGCTGCAGGTAGGCAAATCTTGTTGATGCTAAGTACTGTGTACCTATACTGTTATTGCTACAGCGTTCTCCTTAACTCTGTGTTGTCTTCCAACCTAGTAGTCATTAGAAGGAAAATATATGAGGCAATGAGCATATATATATATATATATATAAACACATAAGGGGACCTATCTAAAAGGTAACACACACAAGCCATATGAAGGGCTTGTATATGGTCTTTCATATTTATTTCTTGATTTATGCCTTTTCCTTTAAGGGTGCACGACAGATATAGTTGTACATTTATAAATATTTCATTATTCATTCAGTTTTCCTTGGACGTGCCTTTTCCTTTGATTGTAGCATATATATTTTGGGGAAAAGGGGAGAAGGGGTTTGTGATTGGTAAATGCTGGCTGCTGAACTTGATTATGCAAAATTAATGTTTCCTTGTTTTCCACAGAACGGTTATGGAGTCAGAGAGATTCTACCAAACAAAATGTAACCGGAACTGCATTGCCCCGCTTGCAAAACTTCAGATGCTTGTTGAATAAACGAGGGGTTCCAGCTGCTCCTGTCAAAAACTATTATGCTAGAAGGGCACCTATTGGTCCAGGCTCATGTTATGAGCAATAACCCATATAATGATACATGTGCCATGTGTAACCTGGTGGTATGAAAGTAACTGCTATGCAGCTACTTTCCATGGTTGATGAGCTAGAATCATTATGTGAGCTCTCAACTCCTTGTTAGATATGGTCGTTGATGTCAGAACTCTTCAATCATCTGGCAACAGTCATATTGCTATGTAATTTACTGTTGAATTAAATAAATAACCTCCAGTTTACATTTTATTTATTGTGCATCTTCAAAAAGTAAAGTATTAATGACTTGTGAATGCTTGAGGTTCTTCAAATATCTTAGCAGCATCAAAACTTGGATTAGAATATTGATTTTTAGCAGATGAAGCTGGATTTTATATGCTTTAGTGACCATACAAACCATATATATATATATCATCAATAACCAATCTTGTAACATAGTACATTTAAAAAAAAAAAGATCAACATTAGTACTCAACTGTGAACTCATTAACTAATTATTTTATTATTATGCTGATGGCCAACCATTCAACCTTGTTACTTTTACACAATTTTTTTTAGCCAATCCAAGTAATATGCAAGCTATAGACAAGTTGAAGTGGGTGGATATTTCATGTTTCGTTGGTAAAAGACAATCAGATTTTTCTTTTTCCATCTCAAAAATTTCAACCTAATTTCGGAAACTCTGTCAGTGTCCATAAGATTCGTGTAGTGAATAATTTCAGTCCTTAATGTCATTTTGGAATCAGTAACAGATCCTAAATAATTACCATTGTTTTGTAAATATATAAATAAAACAATGATAATTGTATACAAGTAATATTTATTCTTTGACATATTTATTTAAAATGTTGTATTTTATTCTATATCTGAGCATATAATCGTGATTTTTTTAGGTTTTACTTATTTTTGTTATGCAACTTCTGTATTTTTTTTACAATAATAACTTCAAATTTTGGCTGTTGTTAAATAAATGTGTTATCTGAAAAATATAATAAATAATAAAATATTTTTGTGTATGTAGCTTTCAGGAAATATTTTTGTAAAATTAGTAAATACCTATAACATAAAAAATTCTGACATCCTTTATAACATTTTAAAATTAATATTTTATTTATTTTTTAATCAATAGATATGAGAACTAAAGGTATTATTTAGATTAGTACTCTTTTTATTGTAAACGTATAAAGATATTATCTATTACATATCTGTATGTATCTATAATTATAATGAGATTTTCTTTTATAATTATTTTATAAGACAAAGAGAAATAAAAATATTATAATTTAAAAATAATTATTATTATGAGTTATGATTTAAAAAATAATAAATATATGAGAGAAAAAATAATATATAAATTAGTGAAAAATATTAATAAAAAAACTTAATGGACAGTGAGGATTCATAACTTTTTGGTAAGAAAATTTATAAAGCTTTAGTAACTAATTAGGGTTTTGGATGAATAGGAATAAATGCCAAATTTTAATTATATACCTAAACTTAGTACCTCTTTCACTAAGCAACTTTAGTATCATTTGTCATTTTCTGCCATAAAGATATTTCTCTCTCAACTTCAGAAACGCCCATTAATGAGGAACCAGTAATTGCCAAACAAAGACTAAGGATGGTTAATGGGGTTAATTTATCTCTATCTCAACCCTATACAAAATTTTCATGGAACAAATTATTTAAATTAAATTGGATTAAGACATGAAATAAATGGAATAAAATTGTAGTAATTTAATTTTACTTTTACTTACCTTTTTTTCGTTACTTTTTTTTTTTCATTCTCTTTCAATCCATTTTTTATAATTCAATCAAAGACTAAACAAAAGATAGAAATTTGACAAGGAGATAAGTTATTTTGATTGGTCTACTTCATGTGGTAACGTGATGCATGGTGAAAGTTGTCTCGTCGTAGGAAATGAATTTTTGTGCAGAGAAGGTTGTTGTTGTTGGTGAAAGATGCAGAATATTAATGAAGCAGCATCCACCACTCGTGAACGTAGGAGGAGCTGCAGTAAATCTGAGTGGATCAACATTGAAGAGTGTTCCACCAAATTGCCCTCGTTTGAAGGCAATGTACCACTCAATAACTCCACTTCTCACTCAACAAGAACCACGTGTTCTGATTTATAACTCTCCAACACCAATTTTTTTTTCTTGTTGAAAAATCAAATTGCGAGTTTTCTTCTATAAAAATTATATAAAGTTTGGTTAAAAATAATATTATATTTTCTTATATTTCAAATTATTGAAATATTTTAATAATTTTTACATTTAACTCACGATATTGTGGTGTTGTTTTTCAATTGTTAATATAAATATTATAGACAAAATTTAAATTATAGTTGATAAATTATATTTTTTATAAATTAATTTTATATTTTAAATATTAGATATAAATTGTCATTTTTGTAATTAATTATAAATTTTAGTTATTATAGGTAAAATTATAGTCGCCTCTTCGTTTATTTTAAAATTTTAGGTTAATTTGGATTTCAAGTTCATAAAATAAAACATGTATAAGAGTTCACAAAAATTTTCCATACAGGTCCCCTCAAGTTAATTAGCTAATTAACCCTACAAAATTAATTGATATTATTCCCTTGAACTAGCCTTAGACCATGGTAGAAGTATATAATAGAAGTGAAAAACAAAATGTTAGGGTAAGTGGAAAAATTGAGTAATAGAAATGGATGTGTATCATTTAGATTGGATGGATAAAATCATAGTACAAACAAATAACAATGATGTTCGATGAGACGGGAGGGTCATTTCATTACAATGCAATAAAAAATGTTTGTGATAACATTGTTTAACCAAATATTAAATTGTAAATAAAGTTATATACAAAATTACTATGCATCCACTCATTGAATATAAGACAGTAATCCTATACTCTTTCTAATAAAATAATTTTTAAAAAATTTATGTGAGGATAAATTTTTTAAATATAAAAAAAATTGTGTTGTGGATCGAATAAAACTTAATTCTTAGTCTTTTAGTTAAGGTTAATGTTTTGCGTAAAATTAAAAGTGTTTTAGTTAGGTATTAATGTTTTGCGTAAAATTAAAAGTGTTTTAGTTAGGTATTAATGTTCCGTATAAAAATGAGAATAAGAGTATTTCCACGGTGCATGTCAATCTTTCACCTAAAAATGAAAATATTTCAATTTTATATTTATTATGATAAATATTTTTATGATCAATTTTCATATACGAGTTATTATCCACTTTAATCATATCAAAATAAAATATTATTGGTTTCTTAGATGTGTGATTTGATTTCTTTATATGTGGTCTACTCCATCCCTTTGACGTGAACTAAGAAAAGAATAGAAAGAAAAAGTTGGTTTGAGATAACAGCTTAATGGCTGAGAATGGAGATTGTATTATTGGATGAAGTAATCCCTTTGAGGTTCAGTCTGTGTCATTTTCAATCTACACTCTTTGTCTTCTTCAATGTTTGGTAATGGAAGACTTTTGAACCCATTCATCACTCAAACTGTTACTAAATGTCAATTGGGTCCTAATATTTAATCATATCCAAAAAAATTCCAATTCTATACAAGTTTTTACAATAATTAATGTATTGTATTCACACTTTATTCAACCAAATTATTTAATCATTATTATAAACTGCTTAAAATGTATGTGAGTGTATAAAGCATACTTAAAATATACTCAAAATAAATATATTAAAAAAATATTTTCATATCCTCTTACCCAAAAAAGAAAAAGGAAATTATCCTGCTATTTAAATAAATATATAAAAATAACGTGTGAAACAAATATCAGATATGTAGTAATTGATGTTTCATACGTATATTGACATCAAACAAGCCTAAAAGTGTGCATGTAATATGATGAGTCAAATCAAGTATATATATTTTTTAGGTTTCCATTTCATAAAAGTTAAAATAAAAAATTAAAGGGTATTTGTGTAAAGTTAACCTAATTCTATTAAGTTTAAATAAGGTTTAGACTGTTATTATTATTATTATTATTATTATTATTATTATTATTATTATATATATATATTTTTTAATATGGATAAATTAATTTTTTATAATAATTGTCTAATAAATAGTTATAATTTTGGTTTAAGATTTTTAAAAATTTGATAATATTTTATATCTATTATTATGTTGATTCTTTATAATGATCTTAAAATATTTTTAGATTTTTTAGTTATTTAATTTATTTTTATCATAATAATTTATAAATATCCTATTTTTAATTCAATAAATTATAATAGTATTAACGGTAACATCAAAAATTGAAATCAAAATTTAATTTATCAAACATCTAATTTAAAAAAAATCAAATAATTAAAAAATAATTATATATATATATATATATATATATATATATATATATATATTTCAAAGACTAAAAGAAACAAATATTTCAATGTCTTTCATTCTTAGTATTTTTATTTACTATGATAATTAAAAATTCCTAAACTATTCTTTATATAAAATAAAGTTTAAGTTAAAACTCTCTTAAATAACATGGGAGATTAATATATTTGGGTTGATATTTATTAATTTGAAAATACTATTAATTAAATATGTTTTTGTAAAAAAAAACATTTTTTATATTAATTTTCATTAAAAAACAGAAATCAATAACATATTTGTATGAAAGATATGAAGTTTATGACAAAATGAAAATTAGTTTCATATGTGAAAGCAAAAACATTTGTTTACTGATAAATTTTTATAGATATTTAAATGAAAAATAAATTCAATACCTACAAACTAATGATTTGTTCTCTCTATGTATTTATTTTTTATATTTAATATATAAATTGGTTAAATTTTTTACTAAGAGCTTATTTTCCTACATTTCTTACAAAATTCTAATTGAATCAAGCAGAAATTGAAAAAAAAAATCATTGTACTTTGAAATAGACACCAGAGAAAAAAATATTACAAATATCCATTTTTAAAAATATTTCTATTTGAAGTATAGTTAATTAAAATGAAATTTTTGTTCATATAAAGAAAATGTTATGTGATATAAAGAAAAATGTAGATCCATACATGTAAAAATATAATTTACATTCATGCTTATTTATGAATAATTCATTAAACGAGTTCATTTAAATTTATTTGTTTGAAAAAATGAAGGACTCTTATGTTATTTTTTACTCATTTATTTAAAGAATTCAAGATAAAATCTTACAAACACAATATTAACAACTTATTTATTGATTATTGGAATTTCATATCTCCTTTATAATTTTAAAAATTATTATGAAAATACGTAAAATTTTGTTAAAAGCATTACTTTGTTGAAGTTTTTTTTAGTAGTCAAGCAAATTATGAAAATGCATTAATCTAAAATATTTGAATTTCACATTCTACATGTTATAAACATATATTTTTTTTATAAATTATCATATGGCTTTAAAATGTTTATTAAATACTACATGAAGTACAAATATATAATTTTTTCATAAAATAAAAATGATTTGAGTGACAAGTAATAAAAAAAATGACATTCCTGGAAAGTCAAATAAAAAATATATATTTTTGTTCCGCGACAAATATGAATTTGCATTCTCAATATTTTTTGTTGCCTTTTTTTTCATTCAAAATGTTTTTTGTTTCTTTTTTTTTCTTGTTCAAAGTCGAGTTTTATCCGCTTATCAACGAGTAAAAAATTTTTGATATCTAATCTTAATATAATCGATTATTTAGAAAGGTGTATGATTTGGACACTACAAATTTTAATAATTATAAATAAAAAATTATATATTTGTGAAAACTTTAAAAAAGAATTACAAATGTAATGTTTATATTCAAAGGGTTCGATAAATATTTTTTTATTAATGATAAAATTTTATAAAATTGTATATGTATATTTTTTATATATAAAATATATATAAATAAAATACAAAGTTATTAAAATATTAAATATTAATTATATATCAATCATAACTATCTAAATTTTAAAATAATAATTTATTATATTTTTTATTTTAAATAATAATAAAAATATTTTAATATCTAATTAATATTCGATAATTACTTGATCATGATAATCTAATCTAAAAACTTCTTACTTTTTCGGTTGAAGTATTTTTTTTAAAGAAGTTTTGTTTCTTACTTTATTAATTTTATTTTTGTAGTTTACTTTAAAAAAAATAAAGTTTTTATTTTATTTTAATCAAAACAATTATAAAAATTAATTTAAAATTTTTTAAAACTTAATTGGCTGAAATTATTGTAAAACAGTGAACAAATAAGTTTTTTTTTATCCTCTCGTGAAAAATACTCATTGAGTATTTTAGTAGTGGCTTCATAAATACTTTAAATTGTTTTTTAAGTAAGGCAAGTAAAACATTGAAACCTTTTTATAATGAAACCAATTCATGATTTTTTTCTTCAGTATCATATTATTAAATTTATAATTCAGAAATAACATCATTTTATCAATATCTACCTCTAGTATGCTATTAAATTTATAATTCGAAATAACACCATTCTATCAATATTTATTTAACTAGCATCATTTTTACATACACGGTTAGAATTCGATTCCTAGGAGGTCAGATTCCGACCTCATTAATTAATATAATTTTTAAAAGAAAATAATATTTATTAAATATAATAATTATATATATATTTTATATAAAATAAAAGTATAAATATTATATATATATATATATATATTAAATACATTTATATAATTATATGAAATAAATATAAATATATTTTTTTAAATAACATAAAATATATTAATATAATTATATTATTAATATATTTTTATAAATATAGTAAAAATATATTAAAATATAATAAAAATAATAAAAATATTTATATATTTCTATAAAAAAATATTATTTTTACTTATTAAAATTATTTTATATTAAAAATATATTTAAATAATATATATAATTTATTTATGTAAAAATGTTATATAGAAAGATATAAATATATATTTATTAAATTTTATTATATTTATAAAAATATAAGTAAATATTTAAATATTATATATATATTAAATATATTTGTTTTTACTATATTTATAAAAATATATTAATAATATAATTATATAAATAAATTTTTTTAAAATAATATATATATATATATATTTAATTATTATATTTAATAAATATTATTTTATTTTTAAAATTATATTAATTAGTGAGGTTGGAATTCGGTCTCCTAAGAATTGAATTCCAACCGTGTAAGAAAATTGTGCTAGTCAAATAAATATTGATATAATTATGATATTTTTGGATTATAAATTTAATAGGATGATAGGGAAAAGAAAAATCTTGAAATATTTGAATTTTTATAAAAGTGTGCTATTAATGTAAATATTCCATAATGCTATGTATGAATATTTATGTTATATAGGAATATTTATGTTAAAATAATGTTTAGCGAAAAAAAATCCCAATTCATCATTGAATCTATTAGGCCAAAAGGAAAGTTTCATGTGTTTATAACACATAATTAAATAATATTTATTTTTTATTAAAAAACTTAAACGTATGTTGCATAAATTTGATTGGGACAATAAATTTTGGTGACATGAGACTATTTAATAATTTTTTTATGGAATCTCAAAATTTGCTCTGTAAGACAAATCATATTTATGTCGGTAAATTATTATATAGTGTTAAAAATGTTCTTCATTAAAATATAAATTAATAAGTCAGTTTTTATTTAATATTTTAAAAAATATAAAGTTGAGTTAAAATTTAAATGATACAATAAAATTAGGCTCAATTAAAACAAGTTGATTTAAAAAAAAAAAACTCCTTTTTCATTTACGTTTAAACTCCTAATTATACATATATAGCTCATATGATGGCAAAAAACTAAACATATGGAAAGTTTCAATTTTTCTTCCTCAAATGGCAACTAAATGAATATTATAATGATGGGTTTAAGAAGAAATACATTAATAATGAAATGTTTTAATCTTTATCCTAAACACAAAGTACAGCATTGAAAAAATTAATAGCAAATGGTAGATGAAAAAGAAAGTTTTGGGTTCATATTAATGTTTGAAAGAAAAATATTAATTCCTATGCAAAAGAAAATAATAAGTACATGCATGCATAGTTCACATCTGATCATGTAGGGAAACAATGAAAAGAGGATTATTGAGGGATAATTATTTTTTCTTTCCTTAAATGGAAAATTTCATCCTTGAATGAAAGACATGCTTGATTTCTTGATGTGTTTATCCTCTAGTGAGGTTTTTTGCATGGCAAGACAGATCATATTCTGATTCATGTTATCCTTTTTGACAGTGAAATTCAAAAATAAAAAAAAAATGAGAAAACCCCAAACACAAAGAAAGCATGAGGTGGCATAAATGTAGAAAGGAGTCTCCCCACTCAATACAAAATACTATATCTATGTACTTACCCTTCTCTTCCCTCCTATGAACCACTTCTCTTCTGCTCTCAACAACTCAAATATACCTTTCTCTCTCACCCAATTCCTAAATCCCAACCCCTCTTTTCAAATCAAATCCCAATTCTCCTATCAAACCCCAAAAGCATTTATCTCTGCGTAAAAATCTCATTTTTCCTTCAATTTCCCCCGACCCATCTTCTCATTTTCTCACTTCAAGACTCCGACGCCATTTGTTTCCGTCACTCTCTTTTTCTCTTGGTGGGTTTTCTCTCCTTTCTCAAATGGTTAACCCTACGCGGCATCGAATTCTCCGATTGCGTTCAATGCGAGCCGTTTCGGCGTGACCCAGAAAACCTAGGTGCCTAGGGCTCATCCAATCTTTCGTGGGTTTTGCACTAATTCGATTTTTTTTATTCTTTGCGAAGTGGGTATGGTGGGTAACGACGACGCGGGTCATCTCTCCGCCTCCCGGAAAATGTTCTGGCGCTCGGCGTCGTGGTCCTCCTCCCGCACCGCCGCTGGGAACGCCCCTTCGGGCGAGGCGAATAAGGGTTTCGGGGATTCCAGCGGCGCAGAGGGTCCTCACGTCCAGAACCGCCGGTTCCCTCCGCCGCCACTGACGCCTCGGTCGCAGCAGAATTGTAAGGCGCGGTCGTGTCTGCCGCCTCTGCAACCGCTCTCCATCGCCCGGCGGAGTCTTGATGAGTGGCCAAAGGCGAGTTCCGATGACATCGGCGAGTGGCCGCAGCCGCCCACCACCCCCGGCGGGAGAGGTAATGGTAGCAATGGTGAAAGATTAAAACTTGATTTGTCTTCCATTCAGCATAACAACCCTGATCATAGTAGGAGTAGCAATGGTGGGCTTGTGAAGAGGGATAAGATTGCATTTTTCGATAAGGAGTGTTCAAAAGTTGCTGAGCATGTGTACCTTGGCGGTGACGCTGTTGCTAGGGATAGGGACATTTTGAAGCATAATGGGATCACTCATGTGTTGAATTGTGTGGGGTTTGTGTGTCCTGAGTACTTTAAGGCTGATTTTGTTTATAGGACTTTGTGGCTGCAGGATAGTCCCTCTGAGGACATTACTAGTATCTTGTATGATGTCTTTGACTACTTTGAGGATGTTAGGGAACAAGATGGGAGGGTGTTTGTGCACTGTTGTCAAGGGGTCTCTAGGTCTACATCTTTGGTCATTGCTTACCTTATGTGGAGGGAAGGGCAAAGTTTTGATGATGCTTTTCAGTTTGTGAAGGCGGCAAGAGGGATTGCGGATCCGAATATGGGTTTTGCTTGCCAGTTGTTGCAGTGCCAGAAAAGGGTCCACGCGTTCCCTCTTAGTCCTAGTTCTTTGTTGAGGATTTACAGGATTGCTCCACACTCACCGTATGATCCTTTGCATCTTGTTCCCAAAATGTTGATGGATCCTTCGTCAGCTGCATTGGACTCCAGAGGCGCGTTTATTGTGCACATTCCTTCGGCAATATATGTTTGGATTGGTAAGAGTTGTGAGGCCATCATGGAGAGGGACGCCAGAGGGGCGGTTGGCCAGATTGTTCGGTATGAGAAGGTGCAAGGACCAATTGTGATGATTAAGGAAGGTGAGGAACCGGCTTACTTCTGGGATGCTTTTTCAAATTTTCTGCCCTTGATGGATAAATCTGGTAATAGAGTAGAAGATGGAAAGTTAACTAGTAAAGTTTTGCCTGGTGAAAGGAGAGTGGAAGCATATGATGTTGATTATGAAGTTTTCAGAAAAGCAATCACGGGAGGATTTGTGCCTCCCTTTGCATCATCCGAGAATGAACATGAAACCCACCTGCCTGCCAGAGAGAGTAGTTGGAGTGCTTTAAGGCGTAAAGTTGCCTCTGCTAATATGAAGGAGTTTGTTTCTGCCCCTAGGTTATCCTTTCCAAGGGTTTATTCAGATTCCATGTTGTGTATTCATACATCAGCAAATTTGTCTCCATCCTCATCCCTTTCATCATCGTCATCAACTATATCATCATCCTCTTCACCGTCTTATGTTTCTCCTGATTCCATTTCTTCTGATTCTAGCACTCATTCTAAGTTTTTGTCAGAAGTGTCCCCAGATTCTTCCTCTCTGGTTTTGACTCCTATTCCTGTATCTTCATCTTTGTCTAATTTTTCTAATTTGTCAATCTCTTCAAATTCTACTTCTCAAACAGTGTCTAACAGTACAGATATCCTTGGTGTCAAGTTATCACATCCCTGGTCTCAGTCAGCCTCTTTACCATTGAAAAAACCGTCAGCTTCCCTTGCTGAACGCAGAGGTAGTTTGTCAAAATCTTTGAAGTTGCCCCTAAAGAATGATAAGAAGCAAGTAATGGATAAGCCGTTGACCTTTCATAATAGTCAAGAATATGACATTGTTGTTAATGGCAATGTTAGCTATTTGCAACAATCAGATAGTAAAGATTATCATCGTGAGTCTAACAACCATGCCAAGGATGGAGGTGTGAGTTCATTTCAAAAGTGTGATCTGGCATTATGTCCAACCATTGTTGACAGCATGCACCTCAAGGAATCATCGCTTGTTCGGAGCTCTGTTGGGCCTTTGATAGATAGTTCCTCAATTGAAGACATATTGCTTGGTCAATCTACAGCATTGAAGGGAACTAATGAGAGTGGCTTACTGCAGTTTAATGTCACACAGACTTCGGTATATCACTGGCCCAGTTTAGAAAAGATTGAGACATTTGGTACAGGTCATTTGGATTCTAAAGCTGCTTTTGTCATATTCTCTCCCAGTATGCATGTACATGAAGGGAACATGTTATATATTTGGGTAGGGAGGTCTTTCAACTGTGACGCTTCACATGTTCACTTGGATATTGATAAACAGTTAGATTGTGTAGGAGCTGTTGACTGGGATCATATTGGTTGTGATCTCCTTGTACAGTTTAGTTTGCCGAAGAATACAGTCGTCAAGGTATGTATTACACTGACATTTTGTTCAAATTGTGCAATACAATTTTTTTTTTTTTTATCTTCTGTTTCTATTCTAGATTAAAACGTAGTAGCAACTGAAAGCAATATTTGTTGTGTAGGTCAGACTGCACTCGCTTAGTCCTGTCATTAATTTTTTTGGTTGGAAACATTGTTAATGATATGCTGAAAAGAATATATATATATATCATCTATATTTTTAACTCTTTTAGCAAGTAGAATAACCAATTGCAGGAAAGAAAAAAATACTGTTGCAATTGCAGCATTCTGGGTGGAGCTGATGGTCGAATTTTCTTTTTTCTATGGACCTTAGATAATTTAAGTAAAACTAAGTAAGAGGGAGTTTAAGTAAACCCCAGATAATTGAGTGTCACAAGCTCATTATATGTCATCACGAGTTTCATAGGCTGAAATGAAAGACTTATTTCTGTGTATGCAGCTTTCGGTCTCATATACTTCCCCTTGTGTTTTTACTAATGATTGCATTTTAGCATTTTAGCCGTTGGGAGTATGAAGAAAACCTGAAGTGTCCTGTCAGAATCTCTAGGCTAGGTAGAATAGGAGGGTTAGTAGAGGATTATAAAGAGGACTGAGGAATCAAGAGAGTCCAGGTCTCGCGTACCTGGCAATCTGAGAGGTCTGTTGTAGTACTCTTTGCCCTGGATTCTGTATCAATTTGAAACTAATTAGGGCAACATATGCAATAAAATCTGTCTTTCTATATTCTGGTCCACCAGTATCTATTCCCCGCATTCAATGGAATTGATAGAAGAAGAGGTAACTGAATCTAGTGTTATGTGAGATAGATAAGGTTGCCTTTTAAAATTTTCAGTGGGCCAGCTGTTGTGATGTGCTTAGCAAAAGTAGGGATGCTTAGCGATACAATGCTATTGACTCAAACAAGAGAAGGGTAGGAATTAAAGGATAAAACATATAACACCAAGCGAAACAGGCAATTTGAGATGCATTTCACGGAAAATCACTATCCCAAAAAATGAAATGGATTAATAACATCATAAGAAGTCTTTCTCTCCTTCTCTACAAATCTACAACTCTTTACCGAGCGAGGCTCCATCCATATCTCTACAAGTGGTTATATTCAAAATTTTTCATTTTCTCATTTGTTTGACAGCTTAAACTAGGCTCGATCTTAGATAGGTTTTCGTAGCAATAAATCTCTCCAATCATGCGTTGATAGCATTTGTTTGATTTGTGATATATCTTCTATATATTTTTATATATTCTCATAAAACATTCCATTGAGCTTTATGCACTATGAATGGTCCTTGTCCCAATATTTTGAATTCTCATGTTGATCTTCTCTTCTGTGAACAGATTGTTAAAGAGAACGAAGAACCTTCAGAGTTCCTTGCTTTGCTCAGTTCATTGTAGCTCAAATGATACTAGGAGAATCCTTGGTTCAAGTAGCTTCTATAACCTTTTCAGCATCTGCAGCTATCTCTATGTATGGCAAGTTTTCAGGCTCTGATTGATCTTCCCTGTGAAACAAACCCAGCGAGGTAATGTATGGCATCCTAGTTGTTCAAAGCATTTAGTTTATTTGTACTGATTAATTTGGACTAATTGATCATGGTAATAATTGATTTTTATGTACCTATAGTGTGTAATATATGCTATAACATGTTCACATATTCTCTCTCCTGATAAAATACATCTAAACATTTGTTGTAGCAGCTGCATCATTGTGGTGATTCTGTATAACAATTTATGCCCCGAATTCTTTTTTCCTTATTGTTCTCTTTTTCCTAATCCATATATATATATATATATATATATATATATATATGATATATCATATAAACTGAGTTTTGTTAAATGTTACTTGTAGGAGGTTGCCCCATGCCATGTCAATTGTAGCTCGGCTGATTGTACAGTGCTTTAACACCCTCAACCTAGAAATTTATGTTGAACAACATACTGAAATTTCTTTCATATATCTCATGTTATTTATGAAAAACAATTCCTTGTTAGCTCTCTTTCTCTCGTTGCGGAAAATGTTAGGTGTAGTTTATTTGCTTATATGTGAACAAATACCTGATTGAGAATTTCTAAAATGAAAAAATAGCTGAGTGATAATGTTCTCAATAAAAAATGCTTTACCAGTATTAAATTGGCAGCAATCTTCGATCGATCTGACTATGGTCGGTTATGTGAAACATGTTATGTTAATCACGTTCAGTACTCAAACATGTTTAACAAACTGAATTCAATGGAAAATTATCAAATTATAAGGATTAAAAACTTAATTTTTATAAAGGATTTACTGCCGCAGAGCATAATAGATTTAATCTGACGAAGGATAAATATTTTTATTATGTTGCAATTTGGTTACGTTCACTTTATGGAAACTAATGGCCGGACCTGTTTCGCTAGAGTCTCTAGATTCTAATTACTTGGTTTATAAACAAGTAATTGTTTGTATTGTATTAATTGCCCTTAATTTAGAGAGATCAATCTTGAGAGTCTTTCTTAAGGTCCATGTATTGTCATACATTATAAAGACGGTGAATTGTTACTTATCAATTATAATAAAGATGAGGCACCTCTCATTGTATAGATCTTTACAAATATTTATCAATTAGTTACAAAAACTTCTTCCAAAGTAATAATGAGTTACAAAAACTTCTTCCAATGTAATGGTTTTTCGTAGTTAATGGAGATGAAGGCTTATTAAATTTGAAGTATGATTAGGTATCAAACTCAAATATGAAAATTTACATCTTCTCTTAAATTAATTTTTTTCTCTATAAAAAAATATTTCCAAAACAATTTTTTTAAATATTGAAAATTCATAAGTTATTATTTTATTGTTGTAGATTTCTAAATCATACAAACATTCCATTTTTTTACTAAATTTATATAATATCTTTAAAAAATAAGAGAAATGTGTTTTCTTTCTAATTTTTTTTTTGAAAAACTTTAAATATATTATATATATCATGATGTAGATATCTTTTACATTCTTTACTAAATTTATATAATATCTTTAAAAGATAAAAAAATGTGTTTTTTTTTCTAAACTTTTTTTCTTTAAAAAAATTGAAATATATTCTATATATGACGATGTAAATATCTTTTACATATCTTTTACATATTCAATGTTTATGACCGCATATTCATTTTATTTTATGAGAATAAGATTTATTAAAAATGAGATATGCAAATGTTGTGGTGGCTTGAATTTGTCTTAAAAGGTATTCTTATTATCCAAAAAAATATGATTTGTTTAAAATGATATAAGAGTATAATAATTTTCTAAAAGGATATGACCTTGTATATATAATTTACAAGGTTAACGAAAATCTTTTAAATATGAAAATTTAAACATAACTTAATTTTAATATGTGGTATTAAATTCAACTCTTCCTCTTTACAAAAATTATTTTCAAAATAATTTTTTTATAAATTAAAAATTCATAATTTACTCTTGTATTCTTTGTGATGCCTACACATAAACATTTCTTCATTAAGTCCATATAATATCTTTAAAAAAATATAAAGACAAACATGTTTTCTTTTTAAATTCTTTACTTTGAAAACTTGAAGTATATTGTTTACATCAAGTATCTTCTTACACTTGCCTTTTTTTAAGATATACGAAACAATTTTTTACCGCAGACCTATTTAAGGATAATTTTGTTTAATGAAAATAAGATATAACAAATATTTACAAAATATTTTGAGTTCTAGGAATGTCCATAAATTTTTTTCTTTAGAAAATACTTAGTGAAAATAAAGATATGCTCACATAACACATGTAATGATGACTAATACAACTAAATTAGAAAAAAGGAAATCTATACCTAAATTTTTTATAAAGATGTTTTCTTTTTAACTTTTTTTCTTTTTTTATAAAAATCTGAAGTATATCTTTTGTATTATTTGTCCTTCGCTTTAATAGAAATATCTTTTATACTTATCTCTTTTGACGATATTGTGTATTAGAAAACTTATGATCGCGTATCCATTTAAGGGTATTTTTATCTTATGAGAATAAGATATATTGAATATGGGACGATAATATTATGGTGGCTTGAGTTTGTATAAGAAGGTATTTTCATTATCCAAAAAATGTGATCTGTTTGAAATGATACGAGAGCATAACAATTTGATGATAAGAGCATATAACAATTTTTCAAGAGGGAACATGATAGTGTAAGTTATATGTATAAGGGTGGTGAAGAATATTTTAAATATGAAAACTCAAACCCAACTAGAATCTTAACATGTTCTTTTAAACTCAACTCTTTCTCTACACAAAAAATATTTCCAAAACAACTTGATCAAAAGTTTAAAATTCATAATCTTCTCGTATGTTATTGAAGATGCTTAAATCATATAAATATTTAGCTTTTGCTAAGGTCATGCAATATCTTCAAAATTCAAAATTTACTTCTGTATCTTTCTCCAAACTTATCTCACTAGAAGATTGAATGTCCTAGAATATGTATAATATTCTAGAATGAAACAATACTCTTTGGTTGCCATTACTAAAAAGGAGCATGTGAATATTGAAATTTCTCAATATCATGTTAGACAATAACAATTTGAGGGTTATATACATCTTCATAATGGGAGAATCATTCTAGTCCTTTCATTTAATGAGATGCAAATAAAATTTTCAAGATTCACAAATCCTTGTTTCACCCAAATCATAAAACTTAATTCTACACCATGTTCACAAAACCTTTTGAGTTATAGGAACATCCATGATAATTCTTCTTTAGAAAATACTTAGTGAGGTAAGAATATGCTGACCTAACACATGTAATGATGACCAATACAACTAGATATGAAGAAGGAAATCAATACCTAAATTTTCTACATAAATGTTTTCTTTTAAAACTTTTTTTTTTTCAAAACCTGAAATATATCTTTTTGTACTATTTGTCTTTCGCTTTGATGGAAATATCTTTAACACTTTTCTCTCTTGAGGATATTATGTATTAGAAAGTTCATGATCGCATATTCATTTAAGAGTACTTTTATGTTATGAAAAAAAGATATATCGAATATGAGACATGATAATATCGTGATGGCTTGAGTTTGTATTAGAAGATATTTCTATTATCCAAAAAATGTGATTTGTTCGAAATGATACAAGAACATAATCATTTTCCAAGAGAAAATGTGATAATGTAAATTATATATATAGAAGGATGGTGAAGAATCTCTTAAATATGAAGACTCAAGCCCAACCAGAATCTCAACATGATTTTTTAAACTCAACTATTTTTCTACAAAAAATATATTTCCAAAAACAATTATATAAAAAGTTTAAAATTCATAATTTTTTTTCGTATGTTGTTAAAGATGTCTAAATCATATAAACATTTAGCCTTTACTAAGGCCATACAATATCTTTAAAAGACAAAATTTAATTCTGTATCTATCTCCAAACTTATCTTCATTGGAATATCGAATGTCCTAGAATATGTATAATATTCTAGAATGAAACAATATTCTTTGATTGCTATTACTAAAAAGGAGCACGTGAATATCAAAATTTCTTAAGATCATATTAGACACTAACAATTTGAGGGTTATACACATCTTCATGATGGAGGAATCATTCTAATCCTTTCATTTAATGAGATGCAAATAACTTTTTCAAGATTCACAAATTCTTGTTCCACCCAAATAATAAAACTTAATTCTACACCATGTTGACAAAATCTTTCTGAGTTATAAGAACATCCATGAAAGTTCTTTATAAAATAATTAGTAAGGATAAGAATATGTTGACATAACACATGTAATAATGACCAATAAAACTAGATCAGGAGAAGGAAATCAATACCTAAATTTTCTACATAAATGTTTTCTTTCAAAACTTTATTTATTTATTTTTATCAAAACCTGAAGTGTATCTTTTGTATTATTTATCCTTTGCTTTGATGAAAATATCTTTTACACGTGTTTCTTTTGAGGATATTGTGTATCAGAAAGATCATGATCGCAAATCCATTTAAGGGTACTTTTATCTTATGAGGATAAGATATATCGAATATAAAACATGATAATATTATAATGGCTTGAGTTTGTATCAAAAGATATTTCTATTATCCAAAAAATGTGATTAGTTCAAAATGATACGAGAGCATAACCATTTTTTAAGAGGGAATGTGATAGTGTAAATTATATTTAAAAGGGTAGTGAAAAATCTTTTAAATATGAAAACACAAACCCAATCAGAATCTCAACATGTTTTTTTAAACTCAACTCTTTCTCTATAAAAAAATACTTCCGAAACAATTTAATCGAAAGTTTAAAATTCATAATTTACTTGTATGTTATCGAAGATTCCTAAATTATATAAATATTTAGCCCCTTATTAAGCTCATACAATATCTTCAAAAGACAAAATTATA